TACGCGAACACTACACATTGAAAAAAACTACTTTTACGGATTTTATCGCGTTTAATTAAGTTATTTTATATTCCCGACGTTTCGATTGCTTTCCAGCAACCGTGGTCACGGGGGACTGAGGTGATTGACGTCCCGATGTCAAAGTTAACCCGGAGTACCTTCAGCTTTTTAATTATTAATTTTGGTCCGATCTACGCAGAATGAATTAACTGTGTCTTGAAGTCTTGCAGTGGTATGCTTGGGTTTAGTTTTAATTTTATGAATTACAGGATCCCAAACAGGTGGCAGTACCCAGCCTCCCTCTCTATTGAAATTAGGATGTTTTTTAATTTCAATAGCCTCACGTATCATCCTTGGCAGGAATCGATGTTCTATCGCAAGAACTTGTGGTTTATCAAATCTAATGTAATGACGGGGGCCGTCTAGGATATAATCAGAAACTGCAGACTTCCGGAACGTTGGTGCTTCACGTCAGCTATGTGTTCTTTTACGCGGGTTTTTATTGATCGTTTTGTTTGCCCTATATATGAGAGACCACACTCACAATCAAGCTTGTATACTCCTGCATCTTGTAGAGGAATATTGCACTTGACGGATGGTAAGAACTGACTAATCTTCTTCGGCGGCTTGAAGAAGGTTCTAATAGAAGTTCGCTTCAAGATGTAGCCAATCTTGTCTGTGACACCTCTCTAAACACTTGGCCGCCGAGCTTCAGCACGTCAAGCAGGTTCTGCACGACAACAAGCTTCGGGTTCTGCGCCTACGTCACAGTGACCGAGTGAGGCCGGCCACAGTCGAGCGTGTGCCTGCTGTACTACCATATGTCAGAGGTGTCACAGACAAGATTGGCTACATCTTGAAGCGAGCTTCTATTAGAACATTCTTCAAGCCGCCGAAGAAGATTAGTCAGTTCATACCATCCGTCAAGTGCCATATTCCTCTACAAGATGCAGGAGTATACAAGTTTGATTATGAGTGTGGTGTCTCATATATAGGGCAAACAAAACGATCAATAAAAACCCGGTAGAAGAACACATAGCTGACGTGAAGCACCAACGTTCCGGGAAGTCTACAGTTTGTGATCATATCCTAGACAGCCTCCGCCATTACATTAGATTTGATAAACCACAAGTTCTTGCGAAAGAACATCGATTCCTGCCAAGGATGATACGTGAGGCTATTGAAATTAAAAAACATCCTAATTTCAATAGAGAGGGAGGCTGGGTACTGCCACCTGTTTGGGATCCTGTAATTCATAAAATTAAAACTAAACCCAAGCATACCACTGCAAGACTTCAAGACACAGTTAATTCATTCTGCGTAGATCGGACCAAAATTAATAATTAAAAAGCTGAAGGTACTCCGGGTTAACTTTGACATCGGGACGTCAATCACCTCAGTTCCCCGTGACCACGGTTGCTGGAAAGCAACCGAAACGTCGGGAATATAAAATAACTTAATTAAACGCGATAAAATCCGTAAAAGTAGTTTTATTCAATACAGTAGTTGAAAATTGAAATTGAAACTAACCGCACTAGTAACTTCGGTGGCGCCGAATATTAATGTATACGGATAGAATTATTACGTATACGATGATAATTCTATGTGTTTAACCTTCATCGAATAATATGTGTAATATTTATATATTTCAAAGAAATACTAAGTTTATAAGTCGCTTAGAAGTAGTGTATACCTGTTTGATGATAATAATATATGTAAATTGATTTAATAAATTGAAATTAAAACGGAGACAGAAAACCCAAAGACACATTTTGGCCCGATCCACGTTTGATACCAGGTCCACATGTTTAACAATCCCGCTTACTAGGTATCTCACTGAATCGGTGAGGGACGTATATGGACACTTTTTAGTAGGAACTTGAAACGTTACTCAAAATAACGTTACGCCTAGTTCCAGATACAATAATTCGTATCCGTTCCACTAGGATCGTAAAAAAATTAATTAACAAACCGAACGTTTCTAGAACTATCGGTTTCTTCATTCAATTTGGGATTCTAAGTATTCAAAGAGGTTTTGTTAGACGTGCAAAATTACAAGCGTGTTGAGATAATATTTTTTAGTTATGTTGGGGCAGAGGCCCTCCCCCTCTGTCCCTGCGGCAATGAGGGCTAATAATCTTCCACACACCAGATGTCGCTAGTTGCGACTGAGGTAAAGTTTTTTTGTTACATTTTGTAATTTAATTGAGAAATTATTTAAAAAAAATAGTTTATCATTATAATAGAGTATTATATTAATATACTAGCTGTGCCCGCGGCGTAGCTCGCGTATACAGGTTTTACATAAAGAATTTGTCGTTTAGGTAAGAGAATATTAAACGATTTATTTCATTACTCATCAATAAGTGGTAACAAAATAAATCATTATCATCAAAGTTCTAAGTCCTTTATGATAGAGCTTCTGTGTAAACGACGTTAGAAGTAGGCTTAGCCGGGGTATACACAAAAAGGTTACGGGGGCTACTAACGCGGGAAAAAGCAACATAGAGTTGGCCATGTGCAAAACAGTCAGTACTGAGGTACACTCCTACAACGCGTAAAGTTTGACCTTGCGCTTTATTTACGGTCATCGCATAACACACACTCACTGTAACTGGGAACTGAACGCGTTTAAAACTGAAAGGAAAGTTACTTCTTAATAGAGGGTTTTTGGGCAGTGCTGCCAGATAAAAAAAAACTCATTCAGATCTAGGACAACACAAAAAGCGCTAGATTTCATGAAAACAGCGCTTTAAAAAACCCTAGATTTCGCGCTAAATTAACTACAAACAAAGTTTGTGTTTATATAATCATAATAAAGAAAACAACATAAAGTTTTTTTTCTGGCAATATTTTTTTGATATATCAATACTTCGCAGGACATCGACTTATAATTATAGCAATTGCTGTCAACAGTAGTTAGTACTGTACGAACAATAAAAATGTCATTAATTGTTTTAAAGTGCAATGTATTTCGCAACTTAGTTTCAGATGTCAGCATCTGATTGCGGTTGCTACACAGTTTCTTTGTGTTTTAACTTCTAAGTAACTTTTAACTTAGCTGAGCTCTAAGCAACTGACTAAAACTGAATAAAGCAAAATAAATGCGTTGCCAAAACCATGAACGAAAACTTTAATAAAGGGGATTTCCCCGCTTATAGTCGTCGGTAAAAAAATCAAGTTGATCATCCTAAAGCGGAAGCCAGGAGATCCATAGCACAGGGTATCCTAGTTTGGACTCGTCTCCCATGCTCTTCGTTTTGTGGAAAAAATATGTTTGAAAAAGATAAACTGCAATGTACCTACTATTTGTGGGAAAAAAATAATAAAGGTCATTATTATTATTATCGGTAATGTGGACTAACAGTGCTGCTATAAAAGAGTTAATAACCCGCTAGTCGCTAAAATATTGAAATGTGTGCTAAATACACCAAAAAGCGCTGGATTAAGCGCTAGGTGCTAAAATTTCGAAATGCGCGCTATACATTCCAAAAAAGTGCTAAATCTAGTTCCCAAAGCGCTAAAATGGCAGTTCTGATTTTGCGTATATTATAAATACAATATCACGACATTTCGTTGCAAAATTTTTATTTTTGGTCGGGTTCCGTTGTATGGCTTCGATGGATACAAATTTCTTCAGTAAGTCTAATACGATTCATCGGCGAAAAATCTCAACACAGCAATTCAGAAAAGTTTGTAATTTGTACAACTCCATCTATTACGTCCTTTGTGTGAGAAAACATCCTATCTCTTTTTGTGTTTTAAGTATAAATATATTAATTATAACGTTTTTTTTTTACACAGAAATCTTTTTATTACTATTTCTGAGATTTTATGGCGCCATTGAACAAATTCGAACCTACATTTCAAAATAATAATCATTACTTTCGATAGAATGAACCAATTTTAATAAAACAAAGATTAAATAAAAAATACATTTTCACAACACCACCATCTATCGAAGAAATGGTTTAACTATTGTGCTTCAGATTTAGTTAATAAGGTTAATATATTTTTGTATAATATATTTTATACGTTCTTTATTACTTTTGTTTACTGCGTTTTAGATATACATAATTATATCATTATTTTACATAATTTAACTATGATTTATGATATGATATTAGTTTAAAATGCACTTGATGACTCAAACAAAGCCACCGTTGAGCAAATTCGTACCTATACTTCCCTACCCATACTTCAGAATATTTATCATAACTTTTGATGGAATGAACTGATTTTAATGAAATAAAGACTAAATGTAACCCGAAGATACACTTTATAATTTCCTTAACAATTCTTATGATATAAATTAGTACTTTATACGTGATACGTTAACAAACAAACAGACAGACAGACAGACAGACAGAAAATTCTAAAAATGGTGGAAATGTATTTAATTACTTATTTTTAGTACCCCTCAATCACTTTTATTACAAAAATAAAAAATGTACAGACATCTGCTATTTACAGTTTTATTATATGTATAGATAACACAAAGCGTCAGAAGTTTGATTTTTAATTTTTTGCACTTTATAACTCGTTTTTTAATGTTTCTACTTTTAGTTGTATTTATAGTTTGGATTATTCATTTCTAATCTAATTAATATAAAATGTAATTAATAATACGGAAAGAAACCTTAAAGTTTACATTTTCCTAAGAAATTATCATCCCTGCTATGAAATCTGTCAAATATTTTACCTCACTGTAAAGTGGTGCCGCCCTGGTGACAAAAAGTCGTGGATGCCCTCATTAGCTTGGCTGACCCACTATTGACCTTTGCATTGTACACAATAATAATAGTAAAAAATACAAATCTGACGTGATAACAAACCTCGCGTTTTAAATTTCTACGCAAATGACATTTGATGACATAATAAAATACCTTTTCTTAAATGGCGCGAAACATTATCTGTAAACTGTGTACCGCTTTCGGAAGTTTAGCAAAAATGCAATAAAATGTTAATAATAATATAAATTCGTAAACAATCGCCACGAAATGAATTTTGACGATTACGGTAAGTTAAAATAAAATACTTGTATATTTTATAAAAAAATTATTTAAATAAATAACTAATATTTTATAAAACCCATTAAAGTAACCCAATAAGATACTTTAATAGGTTTAAAATATTGCTTATTTAGAGAACAGAAACCCATTGTAAATAACAATTGAGAAAAATAAGTAAATAATTAATAATTTCGTTGCGTGATTGATACAGTGAAAATATAAATTTCCAATATTTAATATTAAATTATTAGATAAAAATATAACCTAGGTATCTCTTTTTTCAGCGCGCCAAATAACCTTAAAATATCGCGTAGCCCTCGCAATTGCTATAATAAAAAACAAACCCGATAATATATCATTAGATCAGTACATAAATAGATTAAGAAACCAAATCGATGAAATAGATATGGAATACGATTCGGATATGACAATATGCAGTGATGATTTTCGATTCGACGATGATAATGACAATCACGAAAATAAAGACCATTTTATTGATGAACAAAATATAAACGTTAATGATGTTCGAGACAACATATTAGATGTGACTCAGGAAACGAATATTAGTAATAATATTCTAGAAGGTTTTGAATTAGATAAGTTTGTGCACGAAAATGACGGTGATTCGGGAAATATTAATCCGGTTTCACAAGTTTTAAATCTGTTCAAAGAAGTTGAGTTACCTAATCATAAGGTATGTAAAAGGCTCCAAAAGAAGGAGGTTCTTCAAGAAAATGTATTTTTTTATAGAATTAGGGTGACAAACGAACACACAGTCCACCTGATGGTGAGTGGATTCTGTTCTGTGGCCCGTAGACATCTATATCTATCCTCGATCAAGAATTAAAATGCAAATGCGTTGTCCCTGAGTATCTACAAAGATGGAATGCCTAGTTACCAGTAAAACGTCTTCGGTAACTACACTATACGAAACAAAGCAGCAGTAAGCTGCTATTTCATGCTGGTATATTGTGAGAGCGTGGTCCTTCCCGGTCGGGCCGACCCATTCGTGCTACAACCATTGCATAGCTGCAGCATGGGTCTACAACGTATAAATAAATGTCTACCACGTAAATATTTGCATGTACTCGAGATATCTTTGCTAATTATTAACCAATTTAAATGATTAGTTTTTTATTTAAGAGGCTCAAGGCGGTGCCCATTTAAACGGCTCCGTGGCGCAGTGGCTTAGCAATTATTTGTTGCGCTGGGGGCCGCGGGTTCGAATCCCGCACAGAACAAATATTTGTATATTTTTTTTTATGGGATAGGGTGACAAACAAGCACACAGTCCACCTGATGGTAAGTGGTTACTGTGACCCATAGACATCTACATCTATCCTCAATAAAGATTCAAGATGCAGATGCGTTGTCACCCGTGAGGACTAACATGGAATGCCTCTTTGCCAGTAAAAAGGATCTCCGGTTCTCTACACTCACCATACGAAACACAGCAGCATTAAGCTGCTATTTTACGCTGGTTTTCTGTTAGAGCGTGGTCCTTCCCCGGTCGAGCCGACACATTCGTGCTACAACTATACTATTAATATAGCTGCAGCATGGCTCTACAATTAATTGTTCCGGGTATGGATGTTTGTCTTCGTGCAATCTATGATTGTAAACTGCCTCCACGATACAGGAGAAAATCCTAGTGCGGGGGTAACGTTTTTAATTTAAAAAAACTGCCACCAATTAAAATTATTAAAATTGCAATTTCAAATGCTGATTTACCACGAGCGTTAAAAGGAAGCATCCGAGATTAAACCTGAATTTCTTCAAAATAAAAAATAAAAACGTAAAACACCTGAAATCCGTCAACACGCATATGGCTAAGTGTACGAGTCTTTCCTACACCAAAACCCAATATGAAATATTTTTATTATATTTTGCTATATGACATTAGGTAGACAAGTGAGCTGATAGTACATCAGTGTGGCTAACACAGCGCAGAAATTCTGCGACCAACTACAAACAAATAAGGCCACTGGTGCATTACAAACTTAGTACTACGATATAATGTCTCACAAACTGTTATTTTTTTTATGGTATAGGGTGACAAACGAGCACACAGTCCACATGATGGTAAGTGGTTGCTGTGGCCCATAAACATCTACATCAATCCTCGTTTGCGAATCAAAATGCAGATGCGTTGTCACCCGTGAGGACTAAGATGGAACGCCTCTTTTCCAGTAAAAAGGGTCTCCGGTTCTCTACACTCACCATAGGAAACACAGCAGCATGAAGCTGCTATTTTACGCTGGTATTCTATGAGAGCGTGGTCCTACCTCGGTCGAGCCGACCCATTCGTGCTACAACTATACTACTAATATAGCTGCAGCATGGCTCTACCACGTAAAATATCTGTTAATCTTATTACATAAGCTTTTTGACGGTGTTTTACTGCCATGCTTCGAAAAGCTCTTAAACCAGACCAGAAAGACCAGGCCCGTTGGTCCTGATCGCTGAAATATTTTCCATCGTGTCGGATTTCCAATGCTATCGATGTGATAGAATAGAGAGTACACCTGTGCTTGCACCCACACTCCACTGTAATCCTGTCCTGTGCAGAAGGCTAGACTTCGTTAAGACTGACCGATGTGACCGAAATTCGATCTAGAAGCGATTATTACTATAGTAATGACCATTTTATTAATAAAACCACTGTAAAGCGTGGACTGCCTGCCGATTGGCGACAGAAATAATTAAGAGCTTATCAGCATCTAAAATTCACTGCTGGACGTAGGGTTTTCATGTTTCTAGAGAGGATATTCCTTAATCGTCAGACTTGTTAGAACGCATCGATGGATGTAGTACCAGTCTAGCACTTTTAGCGGTGCTTCCCATTACCAATATGATTATTTTACGGTTCTCTACACTCACCATACGTAACACAGCAGCATTAAGCTGTTATTTTACGCTGGTATTCTGTGAGAGCGTTGTTCTACCTCGGACACGCCGAAACATTAGTGCTACAACCATAATATGACTGCAGCCTGGCTCTACCACGTATAGATAATGCAAAAGAATTACTAATGAATTACAAAGGTGTATTTCTATTTATTAAAGTAACCGTATTTTTTCAAAGGTCGACAATGATCAACATAAATTACAATCACAGTCAACTTTCTGTGAAAGTTCACAAAGTCAAAATCTCCTTGAATTTCTTCAGAATGTTACATTCTGCCACGACGACGTACAAAACGATGAACGCGAATCCATCAATCCGAGCACTGCAAATTATAAACAAATCGATATTACAGAATATAATTTAGATCAAAACCTAACGATTAACGATCCTAATAAAGACACGTATGACTCTCAGCAAACTCAGTTATATAGTTTCCACGGATTCACCGATAACTATACCCATGTCAGTCAAAGTCAATCTGAACAAATGAACATACCAAAAAATCATTTGTTTAAAGTAAAATTAAAAAGCAATATATCAGAAAATGGGAACGAAACACAGGAAAAACAATTTGAAAATGTTGCTGAAACAGAATTACCGCACGACGCAAATTTAAGAGTAAATAACGATGAACTATTTAATTTAACAAACAATTGTCAAAGTACTGTTGTAACTAACAAACACACAATTATTAATAACAATAATGTTAATTATTCTGATAATTTAAATGTAATCACTGACTTCAATCAAAGCCTTAAACAAAAAGTAACTGATACTCAAGATGTGGTCGTAATGGACGACGATGAAGCGGACAACGTAGATAATTCTCAAACAGAAATAGTTTCTTTCAAAGTGATAGAGGAGTTGAACAGGATAAAAATGTTTTTAAATAAAAAAGACAAAGGTTCAATAGATGGTTATGTCACAGATTCTGGATATAAGAGCGACTCGCAAAGTAGGAGTTCTTTTAAAGGATGTAAGTTCATAATATTTATTTCGAGAGCATTGTGAATTTTAATAATAAAGCATGAGCGAATGCGATGGGGAGACCTATGCTCGAAGTTTCTCTGCGTGATAGACTTAGAAATGAGAATATCCGCAGGAGAACACTAACCGGCATAGTCCAACGGATTAGTAAGATGAAGTGGCAATGGACCGGCCATATAGCTTGATGAATCGACACCTGATGGGGAAGAAAGGTTCTCGAGTGGCAGCCTCGTACTAGTAAGCGAATTGTAGGTTGGTTTTCCCAGTAGATGGAGTGAGCGACACCATACGAAACACAGCTATTTTATGCTGGTATTCCGTGAGAGCGTGGTCCTTCCCCGGTCAAGCCGACCCATTCATGTTACAACTATACTACTAATATAGCTGCAGCATTTTTTTTATAGAATAAGGGTGACAAACGAGGACGCAGTCCACTTGATGGTAAGTGGTTACTGTGGCCCATAGACATCGACATCCATATTCGACTACGAATCAAATTGCAGATGAGTTGTCAACCATGAGGGATAAAGTGGAACGCTTCTTTCTCAGTAAAAAGGGCTTCCGGTTCTCTACGCTCACCATTGGAAACAGCAGCGTTAAGCTGCTATTTTACGCTGATATTCTGTGAGAGCGTGGTTATACCCCGGATACATTCGTACTACAACTATACTACTAATATAGCTGCAGTATGACTCTACCACGAGTAAAGCTGTCTTTTATGACAACAACGGGAATATAGCAGTAGTGAATATTCTTACACCGACACTAAATGTCAAATAAAGATATTTTAGAATAATTACTAGAATTCGACTGATTTATATTTAGCGGAATCCATTGTATAAAAGATATGTTTAGCGGTAAGCTATTTCAGAGCATATTTCTTCTGATGACGCCTCGTTTAGATGCGAAATACATGTCATATTATCGATAGTTGTGTGTGTGTTGGGTTTGATGGTGAGAGGCGTGATAATTGCACGCAATAAGGACTAATAAGCTCACCAGATGTCGCTAGTTGACACTGAGGTAAAGTTTTTTGTTACACAATGTCATTTAACTGACAAGTTGTTTTTAAATAAAGTTTATCAGTTTCTAGAGTATTATATTAATACACAAAACAATGCGTCAGTGGTTTGCTCTTTAAGTTTTTGCATAATATTAACTTTTTTTTCAATTTTGGTTTATTTATTTTTAATGTTATTAATATAAAATATAGCTAATAGTACAGAAAGAGACAATAACCTTTACATTTTCCGAACATTCAATAACTTCCCCGCTATGAAATCTGTCAAATATTATACCTCACTTTCTAGTGGCGCCGCCCTGGTGGCAGAAAAAGTCGTGGATCTCATTGTAAGAGGGATGGAGGTATGCCTCTAAACGAAGCGAAATACGTGTCTTATTATCTATAGAGGTGTGTGATCTCAAGTGTTGTGGTGTTAGGTTAGTCATAATAGTGGCAGACGTGATCGATCGGGACCTTGTTGATAGGATCGGACCTTTTTTTTATAGAATAAGGATAACAAACGAGCACACAGTCCACCTGATGGTAAGTGGTTGCTGTGACCCATAGACATCTACATTTATCCTCAATAAAAAATCAAAATACAGATGCGTTGTCACCCCTGAGGACTACGATGGAATGCCTCTTGTCCAGTAAAATGTGTCTCCGGTTAGACACATTTTCAGAAAGTGTAGAGACACTCACTATACGAAACACAGCAGTGTCAAGCTGCCATTTTACGCTGGTATTCTGTGAGAGCGTGGTCCTTCCCCGGTCGAGCCGACCCATTCGTGCTACGACTATACCACTAATATAGCTGCCACGCACAAAAAAGCTAAAATTAATTTTCACATGTATAATATTCTAGCTATGCACATACCTGACACGTGGGTCAACCAATCGGCGCACTGCCTCCTGAATTTCGTTAAAAGTTGTCCCATGGTTTTAAGAACAAGAGAAATCACCAATGAAATATCTTGCGTGAGTATTTAGCGAACTACCACCTTTTTTAATTCGTTAACATGGCTATACCAGGAGTAACGGGGCTTTACCTAAAACTTTCACAGTAAACGAGCAATCAGTTCTATACCTACCCAGCCAGCGAATTTTTTAGACTCATAACTAAATGCTTTGTGACATACATCTATTTTTAAATACGGATCAAATACGGATATGTACGTTTTCACCCGTGAGAGCTAGGATAGAATGTCTAGTTTCCAATAAAAAGGGTCTTTGGTTATCTACACTCACCATACAAAACAGCGTTAAGCTGCTATTCTTTGCTTGTATTCTGTAAGAGCGTGGCCCTTCCCCAGTCGAGCCGACCCATTCGTGTTACAACTATACTACTAATATAGCTGCGGCATGCCTCTACCATGTAAAAAACCTGAAGGTTTTATGTTACAAGCGAATGTTATAGTGTAAACTCCACCTGATGGTAACTGCCCATGGATATCTGCAACCGAATTCAAATAAGTCATAATATAGCTGCTGCGTCACTCTAGCCTCATGTTAGAAGAACCAGGCAAAAGAATAATTTAAAATTAAAAATGTTGTACAACCGACTTCAATATAAATTATTAAGAATAACTCAACAACTATTGGTCAGACCTTGATCAACCACATATGAAGCACTAGCTTTCAAATAAAAAAAGAATCATCGAAATCGGTTCACCCAGTAAAAAGTTATGAGGTAATACACATAAAAAAACATACAGTCGAATTGAGTACCGTCTCCTTTTTGAAGTCGGTAGAAAACTCTCCTAACAAAGAGGAGCTTTTCTTCTACCAAAGAAGAACCATCTCACCTAATTTGATTCCATTGTATGAGACAACTATGGGAACTGCCAGAAAATTCTTACGACTTCCGTTAGATAGCATATAACCATCACGCGTACACCAAACATAAAATACGTAGACGATCGACAAGGTCAAAGGTGCTCACGAGTGGTACTGCGATCGTGTGAAGATTTCGACAAACTCCCTATATCGGGAGAGCTCCATGTCCAGCAGTAGTTTTACAAGCCGATGATAAAGAAAACAAAGTAGTTCACAATCGAAGTTGTCACTCCAGTACTAAAATGGAATGATGAGGGTGACTGTTGCTGAGCGAGACCAACATGCATGAGGATGGTCTCAAGGGATTTTTTTATAGAATGGGGTGACAAACGAGCACACAGTCCACATGATGGTCAGTGGTTGCTGTGGCCCATAGACATCTATCCTCGATTAAAAATCAAAATGCAGATGCGTTGTCACCCGTGAGTACTAAGATGGAATGCCTCGTTTCCAGTAAAAACGGTCTCTGGTTCTCTACACTCACCATATGAAACACAGCAGATTTAAATTGCTATTTTACGCTGGTATTCTGTGAGAGCGTGGTCCTTCCCCGAGCGGAGCCATTCGTGTTACAACTATACTATTAATATAGTTGCAGCATGGCTCTAGCACGTATAAGACGTACATGTTACTTTATGCGCCATAAAATTCAGTCTTAAGTCGAACAGTCCACCTGATGGTAATTATAGCCCATGGACACCTGCAACTACAAACAAAGAAAGCTACAAGTGCATTGTCACCCTTGAGGACTAATATGGAATGCCACACAGCCTTTTTTACTAACTACCTAACCTAGCCTAGCTTACTAACTAATGTGGACACGGTCCACCTGATGGTAAATGGACGATGTTGCCCATAGATATCTATATCCATATCATCCGCGATTAATAGTCAAAAATGTAGATGGGTTGTCACCCTAAAGACTAAGATGGAATCCTCGTTTCCAGTAAAATGAATCCCCGGTTCTCTACATTCACTATACGGAGAACAGTGGCATTTAATTGCTAATATTCGCCATTATATTTTAAAAGCGTGATTCTCCGGTCGAGCCGACTCATTCGTGCTACAACCAAATTATAACTGCAGCATGGCTCTAGCACGTAAGTTCTTACACTGTACTGACTCCAACGCAGTAGTGCTCGCACGGCTATTTGACGGCTAGGTGGTATCATGACCCAGACGCACAAAGACAAAAAAGTAGCTAGGTGATACCTACCCACACGCACAAAGACAAAAAAGGAGTCCAAACATTAATAAGAACACGGTCACCTTTTACATTCCATTATAGGTGTTAGGTCGTCTCATAGATAAGTTGCACGAGGACGAGAAATACCCATCGTTTCTAGAAGACGTTTTGGAAACAGTGGAGTCTTTACTCCGGGAGGTTCACGAAGAAAATAACTACGTAGAAGACGTGGTGAGTGGTAAAATAAAATAAGTACTTCGGGGACTAAGCGCTCACTGTAAATTTCACAGTACGCGAGCAACCCGGGTTCAAAGCCCGCTGGCGCCAATGAAATTGTTAATTGCAACTTTAAGTGCTGGTTTACCACGTGCTCGGCGGTGAAGGAAAACATCGTTAGGAATCCTGCATGTCTGAGAGATAAAAAAATATTTCAAAGACATGTGAAGTCCACCAACACGCATTGGGATAGCGCGGTGAACACTTCCTTGGCCTTAAACCCTTTCAGAAGTAACAGGAGGCCTGTGCCCAGCAGGGGGACATAAGTATATAGGCTGTAACTTTGCTTTTATTTAGAGATGATTGTAGGTAGCTCGACGGTATCACTTTGGACCTCTAAGAGTAAGGTAAAGCTTGTTCGTGGTGTCAGGTCAGAGGCAGCTGATCTGTCTGAGACAAGACTGTCTAGAAGTATATTTATGCCATCTACTGTTGAAACTGTTAGTCCGTGAGAACCACGGCTGGTGATATGACAGCTGGTTCTTCCCTTTTAATTCAGCGAGGAAACGCAGCCAGCGTTTTTGGTACTGTGCCGCGGAGAGTATTACTATATATATATATATATTTTACTAAACGCGGAAGCGGTGATGGCAAGCAAATGAACATACTCGTAACTGCTAAATAACCGCGAAAAGCGATGTTGCTAGGTCATTAACCTATACATAGTGTTGTCAGGTTTTATAAGTTTGCTTATTTTAGGGGTAATTGTATTTAAAATAAGTATATTTCAAATTGAAATAACTTTTTTATATTCATGATTTAACCGTATTCAATATGCCCCTGAAGGAGCGCACAGGGGTTATTTACATGTTTAAAATTATATGCTACGACCGCACTACCGTATCAGGCGCAGACCAGTCACATAAACTTTTGTTTTTGAATTATGATTATTGATGTATTATTAAAAATATATTATTATTAAAAAAAACAATGAAGAATTACATTTAATATATAAATTTCTATTTCAGATTTTCGAAAAAGACGATAAAATCAACCGACTGTTCCTTCTTAATCGATCCTACCATATAATAAAATTTACAATCGAAAAAATAACAACTATATTAGAAAATTTCTATTCCCAAATCAAAGACGATTCGTTATTTGAAATAAATAATACAGCGGAAATTGAAAATTTCAATTACATATTTTATATACTTGAAAATTTATTAAAAAGACATTCTGTGACTAAGGCAATGTTGAGTCAAACCAGTACGCAGACTTCACAGGACGATGAAAAGTTGTTAAAAAGAAGCTCTATAACTGATATATGGCGAAAAAAATGGAATCCCAATTATAAACCTGATGTCCCACAAGTCAGCGTCGATAAAAAGTGTGTGGAAGTGAAATGCAGTGAAATTTTAAACAAAATAATTGTACAAGCGATGGACGGTTATAGCCTTATATCGTACGCCGCGTTACAATGTTTTAACTTGTTGCAATCGTAAATCAATAAATGTTTATAAAAATTTTTTTTTTGTGTTTTTGTTTCACTAATTTCAACCGGAACAAAATTTCGTATTAATAAACGTCCCTCAACGACTAACTCAAATGCTAATATCGTCGCTAATTAATAAACACAATGAATAATTATCTCAGTTACCAAGATCTGTGACTGCTGGACGGCTTGATCTCGTAGAGGACAGGCGTTCCTCTCTGTAAAGTATAAGTTCACGCGGTTCACTGCGTTCAAAACTCGTAGTTGCAGCCGCAGTGTTCACTAGAATAAATCTAGTTACGAGGCTCAAACGACGGAAAAGAGATATGCCATATCAAATTTACAAAAAGAAAAGAGAAAAGACCATCGTTACAGCCCTTCACAAGTCCATTGCTGAACATAGGCCTCTCCCAAGGAATGCCACAAAACACGGTCCTGAACCACTGCCACGTCAAATTTATAAAAAAATGGCGTTACCTTTCATATATAAGTAATTTTAACTAAGTGTAAATAGCACATTCACGTTATTGCTATTTATTTCTTTTTAAACTTAAAAATTACATTAATAACGGTCATGTTGTTTCGGATTTGTTTACAAACACAGGCCGCTCGCTTCATACAATATGCAGATTATTGAGCGCCTAATCCGAGTCTGTATTCACGTTGTCCCTTACACTGGGCACTTTTATAATGTATGTATGTGAATTTGTTATTTGTTTTAATTATTATGTAAGATTTGTTATGATATAGGATTGTATTGTTACGCAGATTTTCCCACGCAAAAAATGACTGACATTTCAGTATCAGGGAAAACGTTATTACTACTTCACTCCGGTCCATAGATAAATATATATGTAGCAAGCTCTGGTCCGTCCGTGGCCTGTGTGGCTCTATGATATTAATAAAGCTTTTACGGTAACCAGCGTGTTTTTGAGTATAGATGGCGTCAAGTCTAAATAGAACATCTCAGTAAGGATAAGTGTAACGATCATGTCATATTTATACCGGTAGACAATTGGGAATATTACCCACGAAGTTGTTGACGAGTATGTTCACCCAGGACAAATTGTCCAAATAGGTAAGTCCAACTTCAAAATCAATGGATCTATATTAGCTGGGCAGTGTTCGGGATATTACGACACGTTTTCTAGTCACGTATTACACTAACCTTATAAAACGACTAGTATATGTAGCCACTTCTGAGACTTCGTAATCGTTATCGAGCTCGAATTCATAATCGTTAATCTTCTCAAGTGGCAGCCTTCTACCGGTAATCAAAGTGTAAGGCGGGCCTTCACTAGATGGAGTGATAACCTGTTGTAAGGTAAGTTGAAGGATGCAGGTGGTTCAGGACCGTATTTTGTGTTATTCCTTTGGGGAGGTGGTGGACTTGTGAAGGGCTGTACCTGTATATGATGAAGATGATAATATGACGATTGTATGTTTAGCCTGTTTAACAGCAATATCAACAAGCAATTTAGACATCAGTTTTAGCGGGAACTTAATCGCCGACGGATTACTGCTTCTGCTTTATCGCTTCAATAATAGTTTGAAGCGGGTTTTGATAAGTAAATGTAGTGCTATTTTGTGTGTTAAACGTCTCATCGTGTAACCTATTAGGGAAGCAATACAGCAAGTGCTTCTATGGTGATATAAAACTTCGGTATTTTTATCCGTTTAGAAAGATATTATCGTCATCAACTATCCATTACATTAAGATTTCCTTAAAATATCTCAAAAACTTGTCAATGTGACGCATCATCATAATGTGAAGAGTTTTGTAAACAAAATACAAATCATACAAGGCTGTATAGTCTAAGACCTTTGACAATTGTCATTTATGATAAGCGTAGATACTAGATAAAGTCTATGATGATAAAAGGGCAGCGGGAGGCATAGACTAATATATAATACTGGAGAGCGGGAGGGACAGGGGGTGATAAGCCGTGATAAGCTGATAAGTGCTAACAACAAAAGTCAAATATCAAGGAACATATTAGTTATTACCGAATGCAATAACTGTGTATATTTTTTCCTATAAACTAAAATGTCGTCATATCTTTGCTTCATATGTCACAGTACGGTAAATTGTGAAACAAATGAAGAAACAAGAGAGAGATACAGGGAAGTCGTAGGGATGAATGTTGGTAAAGCAACTAATCATAATTTGTAACATTTTTATTTTGTTTATTATCCTATACAAAAAAGAAAGGCATAAACTGAAATTAGTCTGTAACGGCCCATTTTAATTCTCTCTAAATTTACATAAATTGAACATCATTATCTTCGTTTCATCACTGCCTATTGTTAATCTGATCTATAATAATTTATAAATAAAGGGAATATCTCCCTCAAATGTTGCTAGTCGCCACCAACCATTATGTTACACCTTTTGCATCATAAATTTCTTACTGAGAGTATCAACTTGAGTTAATGTATTGAAACATTGAAAAACAATTCAAAGAATTCATCAATTTCCATCTTCAGAAGAGACATCAATGAACTTCCATTTCGTTAATTACAGCCCAATTGTCCGCTGCTGAATATAGGTCTAACCCCAATAGATTGCTAGGAAGGGATTTGTGCGAAGAGAGTTGAAATGTTTGGGAACAGTTTCTTTAATTCTTAATCATTATTGTTTATCTTCTATTTTTTTTTAAATTATTTTTGTATATTGTCAAGAATAAATATTACTGATAACAACTTAAAAGTAAAAAAAACTGCAGTTGGCAATTTGCATTCCAAGTGTGACAATTTCACAAATAACATCCCTATTAGGTAACCTATGGGAAAATCCTATGTTCAGCAGCTTTTGATAGGCTGTACCGGTATCAGTAATCAGGAATGTGCTATTGCCTATCTCTTGTTTCAGTTTTCCTCTGTTGCCTCTTACGACTAGATATTATTCATTATAATAACAAAAATGCATTAACAAAAAGGGCATCGGCTTTGATTAATTAAATATAAAATTTTCATAATTCCATATCCATATAAATGTAATAACACGGCTCAATATAATAAAGGCTCAATATAATAAACATTATATTGAGCTGTGTTAGCTCAGATGGTTAGCGCTCGCTATAAGCTTCACAGTACTAGAGCAACCCGGGTTCGATCCCCGCCGGCACCAATGAAATTGTTAATTGCAATTTTAAGTGCTGAATTACCACGTGTTTGGCGGTGAAGGAAAACATTGTGAGAAACCTGCATATCTGAGCAATAAAAAAAAATATTTCGAAGACATGTGAAGTTCGCCAACACGCATTAGGGCAGCGTGGCGGACATTTCCTTGCCCTAAAACCCTCTCAGAAATGAGAGGAGGTCTGTGCCCAACAGTGGGACGTAAATAGGCTCCAACTTTACTTTACTTTTATAAATATATTATATTTAGTTACTTAAGTCACCTGCCACTAATTTCTCACCACGCCATAGGTTGACTGGCAGAGAATATTAACTGGCGTTAAGTCCGTCCTTTGCAACCTTTTTATTGGTTAGAACAATAAATTTTTTAAATAAATAATAAACATTATTTGCATATGTTTCAGTTACTCACTACTTTTATTTTTCTAATGTGCTATTTCAGTTGTGTCCAGATTCCCATCTTTGTTACATCTGTTGCCATGTCCTAAACAAACTTACATTGTTCAGATCGATATGCCTGAAACGAAGTTTGGAATACCCAGTGCTGTTTAGGTATGTTGTTTATGTTATTTACTGTATTCCTATTGTATCAAAGAGGGCTGATATCGCCTTACTTATTTCAGGCACCTTGTAGCAGTACTAATGTTGCCAGAGTAAAATTTTCTATTAATGTTTTCAGTTAGGAACATTGTTATTTCTTAATTTTTTATCTAATTTATTATTAAAAAAAATCAACTATCAATATTCCTTAAATGGATCAATAGAATAAATCGACTGTCTCGATGGTCTAGTGGTTGTAGTAGTGTGACTGCTGATCATGAGGTGCCTGGGTTCAAATCCCGGGTCTAGCCAAAAAAAAAATCAGTTATTGAGTTTTTCATTCAAGAAATTCTCAGTAGCTGCCCGGAGTCAGGAAGTTGGCGGTGTCTCACCCCCTTGCCTCGGAAAGCACGTAAAGCCATTGGTCCTGCGCCTGCTCTCTCTCCGGTCGTGTCAGTTTACTGTCCCATAGAGAGAATAGAGAGTGCACCTGTGCTGGTGCATACACTTGGGTACTATAATTCTGTTCTGCGCAGATGACTAGTATCCGTTGAGGTCGCCGTGACCGAAATTCGGTCTGGAGGACATTATTATTATTATTATTGGAATAAATCTCTTATAATTGAAAAAAATTGTTTAATATTTATTTTCAATTTATATTTTTATGACTACTAGTAATAAATACTACTTCTATTAACATTATGCAAGAAAATTGCCATAGACTGCTAGTGGCAATGGAGATGTTATTGGACAGTAACATCTCCGGCGCCACCTCAAGTAGAACAGCCACCATAGTAATAGTATCATTAAGCAGTGCACTAACTGTTGTGATCCAGTTTGAAGGGTGAGAGCACAATTATTTAGGCTCAGGAACAACAGTGTATCTGTGGCCCTTGATTGAATTAGGTTACAGGTGTCAGGTACCGCAGTAGCCACATACAATCAGGTGAGCTGTGTGTTAGCTTGTTTGTCATTCTAACTTTACACTATGTGGATAAAATTGGTGTATGTGTAATACCAATACTCTAATAGTCTGACATCTTTATAGGCTTTAATTCAGCTACTTGGTAGCCCTTGAGTACTCATACCACAAAGTTTAGCAGTATAGATGTTTTACTTAACGATGGCAGGGCAAGATAAGTGGCCACAACATTACAATTTAAAATAAAAAAATTGTAAACAGAGCATTAAAAATATCATTCACCGCTACTCGAACATTTTGTTAGTACCTACATATGCTTTGAATATTACAAGAATGTATGAGGACTATTAGTTAATCAATCTAAATCTTTCATTTTACCTGCATATGTATTTAATAATATAAAAAAATTCGAATTTTGTAGTGGCGGTGTATAATATCCACTATCCCATTAGGCGTGGTGCGTGTCGTAAGAGGTGTCAAAGGAAAACTGAAAACTGATCACTACTCAAACTTATAAAAAAAGCTGTGGTTGCATACCCGCCTGCCAAGCATGGCAACGATGGCAAAATCCCATCTATGAGATGAGGCGATCTATGTAGGAGGCCTATGTTCAGTAGTGGACTTCTATGAAGTGTAATGGATGAAATGACGGAATATTAAATTCATCTAGCACTTATATCCTTACCCACTACTCGAGATAGATTCTTTTTCTATAAAACTGGTAGAAAACTTTTTAATTTGAACCTATTCTTTACTCTTTGTAGCGAAAAAGGCGCATTATATTTACAGAGAAGCGATATTGAATTGCACGTACAGTGTCCGGACGAAGCATGCCAACAAGTTAGAAACAGTAAATCATATGAAATAAGCTATGAATGTGATCAAAATAATGTTAATGATAATTATTCTGATAAAACACATGAATTTGTAAAATTTGAAGAAGATAATGATTACATTCATCCAAACGATTTGTCGATTGCGCCAACATCAAATGCAGACAATTATAATGATTTTAACGAATTTGATACTATAGTAAATGAAGATGTATTAGAAAACGCTAACAACGAGCCTGATAGACTACAAAATGACGGTGATGGTGAAGTCAATTACGAGATTAATGATTATAATGAGGATAATGGCTGTGATGACAAAATGACTGATGCATATAATTCTGATAATGATGAAGCAAATACTGAAACTGCTGATGCAATTAACAATGATCCCAATTCGCAAAAGGACTGTAATAAAAATGATGGTATTAGAAAGCGAAAATCAAAAAAATCGAGAAAGAAAAGCTTCGAAAAGATAAAATTAACTTTAGAACAGCAGAAGGCAGAGTTAGAAGCAAATAGAAGGGATAAGAAATATATAGAATCTGAATTCAAATGCTACAATTGTGCATTGGGGTTCTTGTTCAAAGACACCTACCAAGCTCATATGATGAGACACGAAGAGGTGAGTGATGATAGTAATTGTATTATTTCTACTAGTTATGTGCTTCAAAGAATGATTAATCAGATAATTTGATTAATCCAGCCATTGCAATTTAACGAATCTTTTTATAATTTTTGTTATTAAATTGTTACGAGCTTGGGGTTCGAGACAATTAGAAACTGCCGATTGAATTACCAAAATTGACACTTTAATTACATAACACTAATTAGAACTTAAACACTAATAATAAAACAATTTTAACAGTGGTAGAGCCAGGCGGCAGCTTTTGCTGTCGCACGGATGGGCCGGCTCGAACCGGGGTGGTACCACGACCTCACAGAATACCAGCGTGAAGTAGAGGTTTACCTCTGCGTTTCGCTTGGTGAGTGCAGGTGGCCGGAGGCCCTTTTTACTGGAAATGAGGCATTCCATCCTAGTCCTCACGGGTGAAAACGCATCTGCATTTTGATTTGTAATAGAGGATAGATGTAGATGTCTATGGGCCGCAGCAATCACGTACCATCAGGTGGACTGTGTGCTCGTTTTTCACCCTTATGCTATAAAAAAAACACAATTGTACTACTGATCACTTTAGTTCACAGTTATTTCGCTTCGAAGTATTTGCTTGTATCGCCAATTCAATACTGACTCGGTCGTGGTCTATACCGGCCTTATATAGGGCCTCAGGTAGTTTCCAGAACCTTCTACTATAGAAACATCTAGAATTTTCGAGTACATATCGGTCCTGATATTTCTAGAAGGATCTTGACTCTCCTAGTTCTGCTACTCGAAACTAGAGGGCGCTCGTGGTAACTAGTGTTGCCATGTGCAAGACATTAATAGTGGCGCGCAACAATATATTTTTTTTTTCGTCTATTTTATCGGGCCGTAAATGTTGTGAGAAGGGCTTGCCTTAACATTCACGCTTGGCAGGTGAATGGACAATCGCAATATCAGATATCAGCACTGGGTCGTTTACGGTTTACATCTACGTTACGTCATACACAAGGTTACCGTTATCATTGCAGCTTATTAAAGTCCCCTGCTGAACATAGGCCTCCCCCATAGATTGCCTCATAGGGGAATATTTTATATACAACCCCAGTTTATTTTTATTTTTGTCGGTATTAGGAAGATGTCACTGCCATTCATCTCATTTGTTTCCCTCTGTCGCCTCATACGACACCCACGGGATGATATGGGACAGTGGATATTCTTACACCACCACTGAATGGTACGGTCATATACAAGGTTTATACGTGGTAGAGCCATGCTGCAGCTATATTAGTAGTATAGTTGTAGCACGAATGGGTCGGCTCGACCGGGGAAGGGCCACGCTCTTACAGAATACCAGCGTAAAATAGCAACTTAACGCTGCTGTGTTTCGTATGGTGAGTGTAGAGAACCGGAGACCCTTTTTACTGGACAAGAGGCATTCCATCATAGTCCTCAGGGGTGACAACGCATCTGTATTTTGAGTCTTTATTGAGGATAGATGTAGATGTCTATGGGTCACAGTAACCACTTACCATCAGGTGGACTGTGTGCTAGTTTGTCACCCTATCCTATAAAAAAAGGTGCTAAGGCTCTTTTTCTGTCTAGAGGTCCATCTGAGTAGATATCACTCTATTAACAGTTATCAATCTAAGGTGAGCCTTGAGTTTGACTGAGTCGTTCTATACCAAATTCTTTTTTCTTTTGATCTCCTATCGAAGTATTCATCCTATAAGAAATAAGCAATGAACTTGCGAAAGGCTTTGTTGTTGATGATGATGATATTTTGGTCACAGTCAAACGGCGAGTACCGGTGTACGCTATGTACCCTTCGCTTCGCAAGTCCGTCGGTGCTTCGTTCGCACGTTTCGCTTCACTCGGAGCGCTACCGCTGCGTTGTCTGCGAAGCTTTACTTCGGCCGCGGGCACGAGTGAAGCATTCCATGGAATGTCTACGTGGAGACACCGTTGATAATGTCGCTTGTCACTTGTGCGCTAAATTGTTCAAGTAAGTAGTTTGAACGTATAGTGCCGGTGTAAGAATATGCACCCTTTTTTACTGGAAACGAGGCATTCCATCTTAGTCCTCGGGGGTGAGAACGCATCTTCATTTTGATTGTTAATCGAGGATAGATGTAGATGTCTATGGGCCCTATGTCACCCTTATTCTATAAAAAATATCTCTGGAAATGAGGTAATCCCTACTATGATGTTCTAGGATAAATATAGATGTTAATGTTACCATCAGGTAGACTGTGTGCTCGTTTGTCACCCTATTCCACAAAAAAAAAAACTTATGGCCAATACTCTAAACACAATTTAATGTTAAGGTGTCGTTAAGTATCATGGTGTCACAGTCACTTTGACTTAAAGTGATGGAGACAGCATGCGTCTTAACGGCGTCTTTAAATTGAGCATCGTTTATGTATTTGAGCATAAGATAAGTGTAGGTAAGTATAACGTCAAGTCTCCTAATATAATCCAGCACGGGGCACCATGACCATGGGTACTGTAAAGCAGGCGCAACGTTGAGAATTTAATAAGTTAACATTAAACCGCCGCGTGGTGACGTTTTAAGAGAATGCATCACCCCATATTAAAGTTGGCAAAAAATTACTTCACGTACATCCGCTAGCCTTTTTAGGATAATTAATAGAATCAGGCGCCACTCTGCTGAAGTCCATTATATTAAAGTTGGCAAAAAATTACTTCTTTTATTCCGTGGGTGTTGAAAGATGTGACTGGGATATGCCAGAAATATCTTATAGCTTCCAATATTAATTTGAATAGTATGTCACTTTAATGCGGGCATTCACGACTTTTTCTGCCACCAGGGCGACGCCACTAGAAAGTGAGGTATATATAATATACCACAGCTATGACAGACTTCATAGCGGGGAAGTTAATTTGTTAGGAAAATGTAAAAGTTATTGTTTCTTTCTGTACTATTAGCTATATTTTATATTTATAAGATTAAAAATAAATAAACCAAACCACAGATATAAAAGTAGAAAAATTAAAAAATAGTTAAAAAAGTGCAAAAAATTAAAAAGCAAACCACTGACGCATTGTTTTGTGTATTAATATAATACTCTAGAAACTGATAAACTTTTATTGAAAAACAACTTCTCAATTAAATGACATTGTGTAACAAAAACTTTACCTCAGTATCAACTAGCGACATCTGGTGAGCAGAAAATTACTAGCCCATTGTGCATTTCAAAATGTGTTGTCACTCCTGAGAACTAAAATGGAATGCCTCGTTTCCAGTAAAAAGGGGTTCCGGTTCTATACACTCACCATACGAAACACAGCAGCGTTATGGTGGCGCCGATAGAGCCCACCCATTCGTGCTGCAACGATAATATAGCTGCAGCGTGACTCTACCACATTGTTAAATGTGTGCAATTCACCTAAATACAAGAAATTATTATTTTATAGGGATACTAGTGGTCTCCAGCAACACTTGAGGCGTGTCCACAGTTCGAAGACTGGCAGGGTGTATCCTTGCGGCATCTGTGGGGAGACGTTCCGGAATCAGCCTGCGGTACGGACCCATATGCTGTGAGAGTGCCCTTATTTCTTTTGTTACGCTATTACAAACATTCTATTAGAACTTCAAAGACTTCCCACTTTATCATCATTAACTTATAAATGGTCCATTACAATACATTGGTCTTAATTTTTTTATCATTTACATGCTAATTTTTGACTGATATGTGGGATGTTACTAGATTTTAACTGGTAACGATTCCAATCCCTCTTTGTCTTCAGGAGTGACAACGCATCTGTAGCCATCTTTTCGCCTTGGATATACGAGTACTTGGGGACAAACGGAGCGCCATGTTGCGCAACATATCGCTCAACAACTACGTGGAATGTCCCGAGACATATGTCGCGGAACATTTTGCAGGCCACACTAGTCAGTGTTTATAGAAATGTCGCCCGAGGATGTTGTTTCGATTAGTGCAGCGTACATAGCATTTATTTCGGTAGTGAAACATAAGCGAAGGAGAACGTGATGGATGCGAAATTTCTTGCTACAACAAGAAGAAAGAAGAATTAATATTTTAAGTGATCTGCGAATGTCTGACGGATCTTTTGTGAATTTTACTCAAATGTCAACATCTGATTTAGAAACTTTATTACAAATTATCGGACCTTCCATAGCCGTACATGATAAAAAGTATTGTATCATGTTTGACAACGGAACGCTGTTGGCCCTCATATCAGACTTGCCATTGAATTAAGATACTTCTCGACTAGAGATTCTTATGCTTCCTTGTCGTACACTTTTCGAATGTCGAAACAACTGATCGGTAGATCAGAACCAGAACTAGTACCAGAACTTTGTAGTTTGAAGTATCCCACAACAAAACATGAGTCTGGCACCTAAAGCTGAAGAAGCAAAAGCACGGTTTCGTTTCCCCACACTACTGACATGTTCCAGGCACGTTGCGCACACGACTAGAATAGAATAAATGGCACGACAATGACGCGGGACACGTGCGCCCGCTCTTGGAGCGGGAACAAGGAACATGTCCCACTAATGATTTCTTATATTTACGCGAACACTACACATTTAAATAAAACTTATTTTACGGATTTTATCGCGTATATTAACTTATTTTACATTCCCGACGTTTCAAGCACTTTACAGCACCCATGGTCACGGGGGGGACTGAGAGTATGACGTCCCAATGTCATAGTTAACCACGGCTACCTCCAGATTAAAAATTATTAATTTTTGTTCCGATCTACGCAGTATGAACTTACAGTATCATGAAGTTTTGCAGTTGTATGCTTGGGTTGGGATTTAATTTTATTAATTATGGGATCCCAAGCAGATGTTAGCACCCACCCATCTTCTCTATTGAAATTAGGATGTTTTTTGATTTCAATAGCCTCGCGAATCGTCCTTGGAAGGAATCTGTGTTCTTTAGCGAGGATTTGTGGTTTATCAAATCTAATGTAGTGACGGGGGCGATCCTGTACATGTTCACAGACAGAAGAATAGACGCTCCGGGAAGTCTGCAGTCTGTGAACATTTTCCTAATTTCAGTAGAGAAGATGGCTGGGTGCTACCATCTGCTTGGGATCCCATAATTAATAAAATTAAATCCCAACCCAAGCATACAACTGCAAGACTTCATGATACTGTAAGTTCATACTGCGCAGATCGGAACAAAAATTAATAATTTTTAATCTGGAGGTAGCCGTCGTTAACTATGACATTGGGACGTCATACACCTCAATCCCCCCCGTGACCATGGGTGCTGTAAAGTGCTTGAAACGTCGGGAATGTAAAATAAGTTAATATACGCGATAAAATCCGTAAAATAAGTTTTATTTAAACATGTCCCTCGTCACGTTACGGGTCACTGTGCAACGTTGCATCGTCACGTAGATTAGTGTTCCGCGTCAAGTTGCAGGACAAAATGTCGCCTAGTGTATCCGGGGGTTTATATGTGTAATATTGCCTGCAGATGTCCATGGACTGCAGTAACCACTTACCATCAGGTCAACTTTAGGCTTGGCTGTCACTTAAAGTTTCATAAATGAAATAAATATATCTGAGTATATGGTCCTTCGAGCCGGATATGAAACGGCTATTATTTGCCCTCTTCTCTCCCTATCCCTATCTCTATCTATCCTTTGTATTATCAACTCCCTTCTTTTCTTCACGTGTATCCTCTCTACGAAATACCAATAGCACCGCGCCGACTTTCCAACTTTTTTATAGGATAAGGTGACAAACGAGCACACAGTCCACCTGATGGTGAGTGGTTACTGTGACCCATAGACAGACATCTACATCTATCCTCAATAAAGACCCAAAATGCAGATGCGTTGTCACCCGTGAGGACTAAGATGGTATGCCTCTTTTCCAGTAAAAAGGGTCTCCGGTTCTCTACACTCACCATACGAAACAGCAGCGTTAAGCTGCTATTTTACGCTGGTATTCTGTGAGAGCTGGTCCTTCCCCGGTCGAGTCGACCCATTCGTGTCACAACTATACTACTAATATAGCTGCAGCTTGGCTCTACCACGTAAATATACCTAATCACATATTACCAATCACCTAACAATAACCTTACCAATATTTAACATAAAAGATTTATAAAACGCTTACAGAAAACATTTGAAGAGAAAATTCTCATGCGACCGGTGTCCAGCGTTCTACAGCAGCCCGTATAGTCTGATGCAGCATAAGAAGCGTCACGAGATGGGCGAGGAGAGGCATTTCTGCACATCCTGCGGCACCAGCTACAGCAGCCGTAAGGGGCTGCTGGCTCACAGAAGGAACAGCCTCAATCATCAGCAGACTGTGTAAGTTGACCAACCACAAGGTAATAATGTCCTCCAGACCGAATTTCGGTCACGGCGGCCAGTCTCAACGGAGACTAGCCATCGGCGCAGGACAGGATCATAGTGCCCGAGTGTGTGCGCAAGTACAGGTGCACTCTCTATTGCCTCACTCTCATAGTCCGATGGGACGTTATACCGCCACGACCGGAGAGAGTTCAGGCGCAGGAGAACGAGGATTTTTCATCAGAAATACCCAGTAACTGATTTTGGTCCTACCCGGGCTCCGAAATGATGAGCAACCCCGTTTATGATATGATATGATGGCGCGGGTAGTGCGACAAGTCAAGACGCTTTTACAAACGCTCTGGAGTTTTTAATTATATACTGGTGAATAAGTGCTTGTTTATCTTGAAAAACAGTATCAAAATAAACGTTAAAACGCAAGGAATCTGACTGTGCTTGTGAAAAGTGAAATTGCGGAGGATAAACTGTAATATCGGCATAAAATTGTGTGCGGGTTTAGTAAGAAAATATTTGGACCTTACTACTCGATACACTTGCGTATTGTGTATAAGTGCATTCTTCTGAAGTGTATCACTGTTTCGTCCGGGAGTTACTAACACAGATAGCCGATTCGGTAGACGCACGGACTGCACGCATGAGAGCAGCTGGTTCAAACCCCGCCCGAAGCAAAACAAAATTTTTTTTTTCTTTTTTCTTTTTTTTTGCTTTAATATTTTTATTGCATTTTCTCAAAACTTTTATAATGGATAATCTAACACTATCTTGGGGCTGCTGTTCATTGGATGGTGAGAGTAAACAGTTTAAAAAATGCAATACTTGCGTTAAAGCGTTTCACTTGGAATGCTTGGGAACCTGTCAATCACGTGCAGGCGATGCGACTGGGTGTTGGATATGCCCTACTTGTATAAATTCTAATACGAAAACCATCAACAAAGACAACACGCCTGTGCGTTTTAATCCCAATGTTACAATACGAACACAAAAAAGACAGACATCCAATTCCCCACCGGAAGCAGTGGACTCGGAAGCTCCTATTACCAGGAGTGATCTAAGAGCTATAGTGAAAGACATCACGGAAAGAAAATTTGAGACTCTTCTGGTGCAACTAACAAACACTCTTCGATCTATTATGACCTCTGAACTAGGCACCATGAGGAATGAGATAAAAGATCTGAGAGAGTCCATTACCTTTGTGAGTGATCAGTACGAGGAAATGATCAAGGAAAACAAGAAAACAAGTGAAACCGTCCGAGAATTGCGGTCGAAAAACGAACTGATGAAATCTACCATCAAAGACTTATCATTCAGGCTAAATAACTTTGAACAAAACGCTCGTTCAAATAATATTGAAATACAATGTGTTCCCGAAAAGAAAGAGGAGAACCTTACAAACATAGTATCAAAATTGAGCAATGTTATAGACTTCCCCATCTCTCCGGAGAAAATAGTACACTGCACCAAAATTGCCAAAATCAATCGCGATAATCTCGCTCGCCCCAGATCGATTATTGTTCAGCTCGCCACACCCAGAGACCGTGATTGTTTCCTGGCAGCAGCTATTAAATTCAACAAACCTAGACCGGTATCGGAAAAATTAAATACCACCCACTTGGGTTACAGCGGAGAGAAAAAACCAGTATTTGTGGTTGAACACCTGTCCCCCGGCAACAAGGCACTACACGCAGCTACCAGGCTGGCTGCGAAGAAAAATGGATACAAGCATGTGTGGATACGTCATGGCCGTATTTTTGTAAGGAAAACGGACAACTCAGACTTTATAGTCATAAGAGATATGGACTCTCTAAGTAAAGTTAAATAAGTTAATACTTTGTCATTTTTTTTTCTTTTTTTAATTTAAACTCGTAATTTTATTGTATGGTACTTATTGTTAACAAAATAAAATACGATAAATTAAATGTCTACTATCAAAATGTAAGAGGCCTTCGGACTAAAACTCATTCGTTCTATCAAAATCTAACAGCGTCTAGCTACGATATTATAATATTAAGTGAAACATGGTTAAATGAAAATATTATTAGTTCTGAGTTATTCGATGATCGTTATAAGGTATTTAGAAGGGACAGAGAGACGTCTGGCTTTCATAACGGAAAGGAAGGGGGTGGAGTTTTAATAGCAGTATCCAAAGAGCTTAACTCGAAAAGGATAACTATGTGGGAAAGCGACTGCGAGGATCTCTGGGTTGCGATTGACACATCTTTTTCAAATACCTGTCAAAGGTTCGTATTTTGCGCCGTTTATTTGCCACCACCAGTCTCGATGCACCTAATAAAGCATTTCGTGGATAATTGCAACTCTGTTATTGAGGAAAACCAGTCCCATATTTGTATTGTTGGTGATTTTAATCTGGGAAGCATAGATTGGGAGCAGTTTGGTAAGTCAAGCAATTACTACCATAGTTCTGCGATTTGCCAATATTTATTGGACTTTTGTAATATTAATAACTATAAACAAGTCAATAATATTGTTAATAAAATGGGTAAAATTTTAGACTTAGTTCTTGTAGATCTCCCTATGTGTCAGCTATCCAAGCCATTAGACTTCTTGAGCGTAGTCGATAATCTTCATCCCCCCTTGGAATTTCAGCTGAGCTTCGAATTCGCCACAATGTTAGCTAACCCTAACAATATAAAACTGAACTTTCGCAAAACTGACTATGAGGCAGTTAATCTAGAGCTTAAAAGTGTCCAATGGCCAGAAATCTTTTCACTAACCAAGAACGTGGATGAAATGATAGATGTGTTTTATGATAAACTTAACTGCACCATTAAGAAACATGTGCCGGAACAAAGGCAGAAAAAACATAAATATCCCCAATGGTACAGTAATGAGCTTATCAAAAGACGAAAAGAATAAGTTTAGAATTAGATTTAAAAAATACAAAAATCCGCTTGATGAAATTTCCTATCATTTGATGTCAAAACGATGTAAGCAACAAGTTTCGGATTGTTATAAAAACTACCTTAGAAGCACAGAGGCAAAAATAGCTGACAACCCAAAGTACTTTTGGTCTTATATCAAAACCAAAAGAGGTGGTCATGGTATATACCCAACGGCCATGAAAAATGGATCTACCACAAGTTATGAAGGTAAGGGTATCTGTGAAATGTTTGCAAATTATTTTTCGGAGGTATATAGTGATTGCAAACAGCCGTCACTCTATGATAATGCAACTAATAATACTAGTATCAACTCGGATTGTTTAGCACATATTTCAATAAGTCACGATGATATTCTCAAACGTATTAAGGGTCTAGATATATCGAAAGGTGCAGGCTCTGATAATATTCCACCATACTTCATAGTTAACTGTGCTAATAGTTTATCAGCGCCTTTAAGGCTCATTTTAAATGAATCGTTGACAAGTGGAGTATTTCCAAAGCGATGGAAGTCTGCTAAGGTCGTGCCAATTCATAAGTCTGATGATGACCAAGACGTTCGGAACTATAGGCCAATTTCTATCCTGCCTGTTTTTGCTAAGTTGCTAGAAGCAATCATTTGCCCATATATACAAAATCACTTCAAAAAATACACTTCTAGTAAACAGCATGGATTTGTAGCTGGAAGGTCTACTTCTACGAATCTCATGTGCTTTGCTGAAGACCTTATGGAAGCTGTGGATAACAATCGGCAAGTTGACGCCATTTATACGGACTTCAGCAAAGCATTCGACACAGTTCCCCACAACGTGCTCCTCCAAAAATTAGAAATGTATGGCTTCGCTGGACCTATTCTGCATTGGCTAGAATCATATTTAAGCGATAGATCCTTTTATGTGGTAGTCAATGGGTACCAATCTAACTTACACTCTATTTCCTCTGGCGTACCGCAAGGCTCGCATTTGGGCCCAATATTATTTAATATATTTATTAATGATCTGCCTGATCACTTTCTTTATTCTTCACCGCATATGTTTGCTGATGACCTGAAACTGTCTAAAGTCATAAATAATGAGAGCGATATTATGAAGCTTCAAAAGGATTTAGGCATCTTGAATTCTTGGTGCGTAAAAAATGGACTTAAATTGAATGCCAAAAAATGTACACACATAAAATTTACTAGAAAACTTAACAAAATTTCATCTTCATATACAATAGCAGGCAACATACTTAAGGAGACAGAAATCATGCGTGATTTAGGCGTCTTATTGGACACAAAACTTACATTCATACCACATATGGAACAAACGATCGGCAGGGCATCGAGAATGGTGGGTTTTGTTATAAGAAATAGTAAGGAATTCCGAGACATTAAAACTAAAAAAATCCTTTATTGTAGTCTGGTCAGAAGTGTACTGGAGTATGGTAGTGTAATCTGGCGACCGCACTACGCTACTCACTCATTGAGAATAGAACGGGTACAAAAGCGCTTTCTTCGGCATCTGTCATATTCTTCGGGTATGCGAGGCAGGCATATCAGTTACGAGACCCGTCTTAAGCGCTTTAACATGACCAGTTTATCCAAACGAAGAGAGGTTTCTGATTTGTTATTTTTATTTAAATTACTCCACAATATCATAGACTGCTCAGAACTTTTACAAAAGATTAATTTTAGAGTTCCGTTCAGGCCTCCACGAAAACCTATTACACCACTCAGTCCTCCATTACGACGAACTGTTTTTTGATCACATTCGCCAATTTGTAGGATGATCAGACTTTTTAACCAAATTAGCGATCTCGTCGACATTAACCATGTTTCATTGGGAAAGTTTCGAAAGGCTGTCTATATGATAGGTACCTCAGATTATAAACATTTGCCTTGTTAAACACTTTTTCCTTTTTTAATCTTTAAATTTTTTTAAATTTTTAATTTTTTTTTTTAATTTTGTAAATTTTGTAAATCCATACCTTGCCGCTCTGTTTTTGGTCAGATTGTTTTAGTGAATTTTATAATGGCAATACTACAGTGTTTCTATTCAATAAGTATAAATTCGTCTTTTAATTGTCGCGATAAAAGTTATGCATGTGGTGTTTACCTGTAATTGACTGTGTACTTAGTTTTTTTTTTTTAACTATATCGCTTGATTTATATGGGAAAATGTTAGTGCATAAGTTGTTGGTAAACCAATTTTAATAAAATAAAATAAAAAAAATGACCATTAGATCAACGAGGTAGTCAAGCACAAGAATACAAGTGATGTGGGACATAAGAGATTTGTCACATTTTGTCCCGTGGGTGTCGTAAGACGCGACTATTAATGGAATCGGGGCGTTACTTTGCGAAAACACATTATATTAAAGTTGGAAAAATTTACTTTGCCTATATCTATATATCTATATCCGTGTAATAAAATAATGTGTCGTACCTACTTTGAAGCACACCTTCTGCCCTTACTCAATTGCGTGCACTATCCCCGTCACCACTAATCCCAGCACCACTGCTCGTGCCACTGTTCTACCGGCTTCAAAAAGGATGGGGTACTCAAATCGCCTGTATCTTCTTTTTTCATATGTGTTACCTCATAGCTTTTTTCTGCGCGCACCGATTTCGATGATTATTTTTTTTATTTGAAAGCTGGTGCTTCTCGTGTGGTCCCATATAAATTTGATCAAGGCCTGACCAATAGTTTTTGAGTTATTCTTAATAAATTATATTGAAGTCGGTTATACAAAATTTTTAATTATTGTAATTTATCTTTTAAGTTATATTTATATTTTTCTATTAGCGTTATCGATTGTAGAAAGTCTACTTAGTTAACTTCGTTATCTAACAAAGCTGTTGGTTACCTTAAAATTTACATAAACATAAATTGCACAAGGACAGATTTTAATCCTTCTGCAATTTACACCAAGACAAAAATCCGCCCTTGTGAAATTTATGTATGTAAACTGCCTCCACGATACAGGAGAAAATTCTAGTATATACAAGTTCAAATGTTAAAACAGTCATTAAAAAGCCATCTGTGTAAAAAAAAATTACATAAAAGAGGAAAAGTTTTATTCTATGTCACTTCCACAACTAAGACGAATTTTACGACACCTCATCATGTTAAACCCATATATCCTCCTTCTGGGGGAGTCGGGTAAACAGTTATTATGTAAGAAAATGTCCTTTTCAGTTTCGAGTGCAACAAATGCTCTCGAGTGTTGCCACACCGTCGCGCGTTGGAAGCGCACGAACGTAGAGTGCACGGAGACGGGACCCAGCGGGCCATGTCTAAACTACAGCGGCCGAAAATTCACAGGAGACCAACTGAACACGCCATCTGTCATTTGTGCGGGAAAAGTTTTAAGGTATATAAGGAATTTACTTGCGTGGTAGATCCAAGCTGCAACTATATTACAAATGCAGCGCGAATAGTTCGGCCCGACCGGGGAAGGACCACGCTCTCCCAAAACACCAGCGTGAAATAACAGCGTAATGCTGTTTCGTATGTTGAGTGTAGATAACCGAATACTCTTTTTACTGGAAATGAGGCATTCCATCTTAGTCCCCAGGGGTGACAATGCATCTTGCATTTTGATTCTTAATCGAGGAAAGATGTTAATGTCTATGGGTCACAGCATCACTCACCATCAGGTGGACTGTGTGCCCGTTCTTAATCTATTTAAAAAAAAATAGTTGACTCTTGGCTTCGTAGCATCGCAGCCAAATGTCTGTCACTCTGCTATATCCAATGCTATAATATATAACTTTTTAAACATTTTTAAGTTCGCAGATGTACTGAAATTAGTTCACATTTGGCACGCTACGTTGGAGGGTGAATGAGGATGCTGCAAATTTATTGCAGTTCGCATATCGCATTAATTTATAAAAGTTTTTATTTAACTTGCAATATTTTTGTCCTATCCATTCCAGCCATTATAGCCTATAAAAGCCTCTCCCATAGCAATCTATGAGGCAATCCTCAACGGGGGGAATTTTGCCAATGTTGCCACGCTTGGTGGGCGGGCCGGCAACCACAGTTTTTTTATTAATTGGAGTTATCATCAGAAAGATGCTGCTGCCTATCTTCATTTCCCACTGTCGCCTCTTACGAAACGCACGGGACGTTAGAGGGTAGTGGATATTCTTACACCGCATTTACACGGTTTTTATTCACGTGCAATTTCTATATTTAAAATCACCTCCACGATAGGAGAAAATCCTAGTTAACTAATAGAATCAGGCGTAACTTTGCGGATATCCATTATATTAATGTTGGTAAAAATTACCTTGCGTACATACCTTACGTAGACTTAAGTAGGGAGTGGTTGCGTCAGCGGGCTGTATATATAGCAGTTGTTTTGGCTCGCCGCTCACTTAGCGGTCAGTCATCGCACAGTCTACATCACTTGAAGATGCCTCGTGTAGAGGCGAAATACGTGTCGTATTGTCGTCAGTGGTGTCTTTCCTAGTGTAGTGGTGACGGGGGGATAGTGCACGCATTTGAGGGAGGGCGGGAGGTGCTCTTCAAACTAGGTAAGACATATCATTTTATTTTATCGAGCGGATGTACGCAAGGTAATTTTTACCAACATTAATTGAAAATCCTAGTGCAGAGTTACATTTGTAAACACTAATAACTACAAGTTCACATCATCCTGCATTTTCCAGGGCAACAGCAAACTCAACAGGCATCTCAAAGAAGTCTGCGAGAAAGAGAAACTATCAGAAGAAATATCTTCATTTTATGAATAAAAACGTGTCAACCTCGATTCGTTTTTCTCTAACCATACAAGTTAATTTTCATGCGGCAGATTATTTGTTGAATCTCGTGTCGTATCGTAGAGAAGACGTAAAGAGAAAAAGTCAAGGTGTTATCTCCAACAGATGCTAGTAGATTTCGATTAGATTACCTAGAGATGCCGTCTGATCTTGACCGGATTTTAAGAACGAAGACCATAATCCACCCGAACTATAATAAAAACCGGATTTTAATCACGGCTATGCTATACGAAAAGAGATTCATAGGTCGCAATTTGTACAAAAAAAACTGTGAAAAACCAACTTTTTGAAAGTTGTTGCTACAAGTTGAAATCTACGTATAAAGTGTCACCAGTTGCATTTATAATCGTATGCAATAGCTGGAAAGGCCATTGAACAAGAAATAAAACGTAATTGCAATCTATTGAGTTGTATTGCTGGGATAACCAGCCGAAGATCGGACTTTTTAATATTTCTATCTTACTGCAACCGGATTCCCAATTTCATGCGCTGGTAACACTAGTTGTACCTACTCAGACGGACTTCTAAATCATATTTTTTATAATGAAATAACCATCTTATTTACATATTTTTATTAATACTGTTTTGGTTTATTGTATTAAATACCTATAAATGCAATAGGGTAAATACAACATATTATTACACAAGGATAAAATACAATTTTCTTTTGTTTTTTCGCTTCGTAATCTAAATCACATTCTTGTCTTTCATTAGAAGTAACAATTTCCAAATTGTCTTCTGTAAATTATGCCGATTCTCCGTTTATATTGCCATCATCTGAATCAGAGTCCAGCATAACTGTTGCTTCATCAGGTTTTCTTATAATATGACTGTCAGCACTGAACTGATAGTCCTCGATAGGCTCTTCATTTTCCTTTAACAAGTACCTCTGGTAGTATTTCGATGCTTTAAAAACATTAGATATCTCTGCTTCCATTTCAACATCCTTCTCTATTTCCGCGTCTAATTGTTTTTGCAGTGTATTCAGATCGCATTCGTCTGCTTCATTATTTTTAACTTCCGTAGTATCTGGCTCAGGTTCAGAATCTTCATCGAGGTTTATAATCTCGTTAGCACTGTCGTCTGACGTAATGTGAATTATTTTCTCATCTTCTAGTCCATTCATGAATATTGCTAAATTTTTCTCTGAAAATATAAAGCTAGTTAAAGTTTTATAACCACTAGCATTTCGCTCGGGTAAGTTCTGGATTTCAACATCAGGGCTAAACACCGGGTCCAACTATAGCTCTATTTTTTTTTTATATGATAAGGTGACAAACGAGCACACAGTCCACCTGATGGTAAGTGGTTGCTGTGGCCCATAGACATCTACACTATCCTCGTTTGTAAATCAAAATGCAGATGCGTTGTCAACCCGTGAGTACTAAGATGGAATGCCTCTTTTCCAGTAAAAAGGGTCTCCGGTTCTCCACACTCACCAAACGAAACACAGTAGTGTTAAGCTGCCATTTTACGCTGGTATTCTGTGAGAGCGTGGTCCTTTCCCGGTCGAGCCGACCCATTCGCGCTACAACTATCTATTAATATAGCTGCAGTATGGCTCTACCACGTATTAAATTTCCATGTATTGTCCCCCCCTCCCCCCCATTCCCTTAAAATAGTTTATTCGAATTTTTGTCAACATTCTGCACTGAGATCCAAATTTCAGGTCTGTAACTCATTGTGTCTATTAGTTAGACTCATAGACACAATGAGTTACATACGTGGACATACGGAAGTACATTTCTGAGGCGTCGTTCTAATTAGCAACGGTCGTACGAGCAAACGATGCGATTTCGTCGCACGACGAAAATAAACACACTTTATAAAGTAAAGACAACGCATCTGCATTTTAATTCTTTATTCACCATACCATCAGGCATACTTTATATTAAGTATACACATGTCACAGTAAGATAGTTTAAGCCGTTATATAGTTATATGAAAGCGGTTAATAACTATCTTACTAAATTAATCTGGTGAAATAATTATACGAGGGCGGCACTGAAAATTTCGGGAATCAAGGAACTGACACAACATTATTATTTAAAAATGTATTTATTGCTTTTAGAAGTATTCTCCGCGAAATTTATATTTATGATACGATGTTGTATACAGCATTTGAGGATCCTGCGTGGAATCTTTCGAGAGTTCTGACGCACCAAGTAACGCGAGCCGCTTTTTGCTCTTCACAGAGCGAATGCGGTATCCATCGGGAAAACAACTTTTTTACACCTAATTGTTCATGCAAGATTATTTGTATTTGACTCATGCCAATGTCTAAAGTTGCCTGAATTTCGCGGTATGTCACATATCGATCTTCCTCAATCAGCTTACGCACAGCATCAACGTTTTCTTGGGTGACTGCAGTTTTTGGACGACCTTGACGGGGATCATCACTGAGCTTGACACGTCCACGTTGAAATTCAGCAAACCAGCGATAAATTGTGTTTTTGCATGGGGCTTCATCACTAAATGCAGAAATCATCCGGTCAACACACTGTTTTTGTGTTAAACCACTTCGAAAGTCATAATAAATCATCGCTCTTGAATTTTCTCGAGTCAATTCCATTTTCTCAACGACTAAACAAGTTTGACAAAACCTTGACAAGACCGAGAATCTTTTTTTAAATAAATAAATGGTATTCGATTTTTAAAACCAAGGGGTTTTCAATTAAAAAGATTTTAATATGACAGGAACAGTGGAAATATTCTATTCCCGATACTTTAAGTGCAGCCTTCGTAATTGTAGTTTGTATGTATAATTCGATAGTATACTTATAATTATTAATTTTTTTTTATGTTCTTTCAACATTATATTTTATACTTTCAAAAAAAAATTAACATGAACAACAACACATATAATGCATTGCTATTGTGTTTGTAAATCAGATAGTGAATGTGTTAAGATCCAATAGCAATGTTGCGAAATTTGTTCCTCTGGTACATTCGGTTTACAATTATAATTATTTCACTAGATTAGTCCAGTGGCATCATTACTACGAACAGCTACTATCCCTACCCCATCTAGCTGCCACACAACTTCCTGGAGTGGAAGTGAATGCAGGACTTATACCTCCAATACACCCTGATGAGGTAAAGAAAGCCCTACACAAAATGTCCAACAAGAAAGCCATTGGACCTGACGGAATACCAGTGGAAGCTTGGAAATGCTTAGGTCCACGCGGACTCGTGCTGCTAACCGATTTCTTTAACTGTATGTTGTTCTCTTCAAAAATGCCAAAGGCGTGGAGATTGAGCACTATAGTTCCCATCTACAAGGGAAAAGGTAGTAAGTACGAGTGCAACAACTACCGCGGAATCAAGCTCCTCAGTCACACCATGAAGCTCTATGAGAGGGTAATTGACAGCCGCATAAGATCCGAGTGCGAGCTGTCTAAGAACCACTATGGCTTCGTACCTGGATTGTCTACCACGGATCCGATGTTTGCTCTTAACACGATTGTCGAAGAGTATCGCGCGAAAAACCGACCATTACATGTCGCATTTTTGGACATGGAAAAGGCGTTTGACCGTGTCCCAAGGGATACGATCTGGTGGAGCCTTCGTAAGAAAAATGTCCCAGAACACTACGTTAACATCATTGCCGACATGTACAGAGATGCGAGATCAATGGTTCGGACGGTGGTGGGTGAGACCAAGTCGATAGCGGTCACAGAAGGAGTGCACCAAGGTTCTGTATTGAGCCCTTTTCTGTTTTCTTTGGTTCTGGACTCACTCACCGAAGCGGCACAGAATTCAGCAACGTGGACATTTATATACGCTGACGACGTAGCCATCTGCACAGACAGCCGCGCTCACTTGCAAGAGGCACTCGTGTCGTGGAAACATCAGTTACAGACCGGTGGCCTAGTGCTGAGTGTGGCAAAGACTCAGTTCATGTCCTTCAACGACCCAGATACAAACAACGGTCCGATTTCCATCGATGGACAATTGGTGAACTCGTGTGATCAATACAAGTATCTGGGTAGTATGATGAGCGGTTCTGGGGACTTGGAAATTAACATTCAGCACCGAATAGCCGCAGCGTGGCTAAAGTGGCGAGAAGTAACTGGTGTCACGTGCGATAGGAGAATGCCGGTCAAACTTAAAGGTTTAATCTATAAGACCATCATCAGACCAGTCCTATTGTATGGCAGTGAAACATGGGCCGTAACTCAAAAGAATGTGCATACCATGCAAGTTGCTGAGATGAAGATGCTGAGGTGGATGTGCGGCGTTACCAAGCGCGACAAAATCCGCAACGAGTACGTGCGAGGAAGCTTGGGCGTGCGCGACATCGCTGACAAGATGCAGGAAAGTAGGCTGCGATGGTATGGGCACGTGAAGAGGAGGCCACCCGACTACGTAGGGAACTTGGCACTACAACTCTCCATCCCAGGTCGAAGATCCAGGGGCAGACCCAAAACACGATGGAAAGATGTAGTGGTAAAGGACATGAGAGAGTGCGAAGTCTCCGAAAATGAAGTCGAGGATAGAGCGAAGTGGAGGCGTAAGACAAGAAAGGCTGACCCCACCACCATGTGGGACACATAGCCAGGAAGAGAGAGAGAGTCCAGTAAGATAGTTATAAACCGGTATATAGCTATATCCCTATGGATACAACCATATCAAGGCTTTAACTAACTTACTGGGATACATAACGTAAAACAGTAATTTGCTGCCTTATTGTTCAGGAAAATATGAAAATTTTTCAACCCTAACACCCACGACATGATATGTTGTAGTGGATCTTCTCGCACTGCAACTATATGGTCAATGGCTCTTATTATAACCAGTGGCGTACCTCGTAACCTCAGGGCTAGACGGGGCAGTGCCCCGGAGCCCCCAAGCTGAACAGGCCCTTTATTTTTACTAGTTTCCGCCCGCGATTTCGTTTGTCTGGTATGGATCAACATTGAAAATTATCCCACGGGATCCTTTTATCTGGATAAAAGTATCCTGTGTCTTACCCAAGTCGAGCTCTATTCGTGTGCAAAATTTCATCCAAATCCACCCAGTAGCTTGCGTGAAAGCGTAACAAACAAACAAACTTTAATATTTATAACATTATTAGGAACAACGAATAAATATTATGTGTTGCGTTACACCTAATACTTAGTAGTAAGTAGCTTTGCTTTACGTCTTGCAGTGGGTGATAAGAAACTGAAGATAAAGTAGTTTTGCGCCTTCAAAGTTTAGTTTAAATAGGGCCCCAATCTCATTTTTGCCCCGGGGCCCTTAGTTACATAGCTACTCCACTGTATATAACATTAAATATGCTTTATAATTGAGTCAATAAGGTCGATAATGGCATCTATTGATCTATATAACAATATTCATTTTAAACTCACTTGGTACATTAATAATTGTTGTGGAGTCCACAATTTCACCAGTAACACATTTTAATGGTAGCAACATCTGCAAAGAAATAAATCAGTATAAAAAAAAAACCAGCCAAGTGCGAGACGGTTCCGAACAAATCCGTAGGTATATAAGTTTCAAATTATTAAAAATATTTTCATTATATGATGTAACTAAAAATTTATGCTTTTCGCAATTTTTCCTTTATATGTGCTATAATACGTTGCTTCGTACCAGATTTTAAGATTCTGAGTTCACAGGAAGTACCCTGTAGGTTTTGATTCCCTTCCGAATGTCGAAAATTTGCGGCACAAACGGCTGTATCTTTTGATTGCGTTGGCTTAGAAGTTTGATTTTTTTCACAGCTGCAAGGGACAGTAGACTTGAGTATTTGATATGAATTTCAGCTTGATACCTCCACGCGTTCCTGAGAAAAAGGGTCTTGACAGACAGACAGACGGACAACAAAGTGATCCTATAAGGGTTCCGTTTTTTCCTTTTGCTGCTAAAAATAAAAAATAAAAGAATCTACAACGTGACCAAATGAATTAGGCGCATGACAGCAATGATGTCATTAGAACTAGGGAGGGAAAACCGGAACGGCGATTGGTCAGCGCGGGGATAGAGCCGGGGTGCGGGCGCCGAAAACGCATTCCTGTCATGCTTGTTTGTCATGTCATAATTGTTTTGGCCAAGTTGTACTGCAAGTGTCGGGCAAGCTAAAGTCCAATGGTTTAGGGGTCGCATAACCGTATTCATATTAAAAAATCGGTTTGAGTTTTTTTACGACAGAACATGCTTACCGGTCATTTCTATTTTTTATTAAGAACTATATTTTGAAGAATTAATTATATCCTCGTCAGAATTTCGGTCACGGCTGCCAGTCTCAACGCAGATAAGACATCGGCGTACGACTTGATTATATTGCAGTGCAGGATTATTTTGCATTAACCGGCCATATTTGCAGAGAAGTTTCAAAATAAGTAATATAGACAAATGGTAAAGAAAAATTAATTAACAAAATATCACAAACATTCCGTCCTTTTCTCTTTTAAATCCAAAATGGATGGTAATGCATTATTTTAAATGATTTTACTGCGCACACACATATTCGTGCCAACGTGCCATACGTGGTAGAGCCATGCTGCAGCTATATTAATTGTATAGTTGTAGCACGAATGGGTCGGCTCGACCGGGGAAGGACCACGCTCTCACAAAATACCAGCGTAAATGGCAGCTTAATGCTGCTGTGTTTCGTATGGTGAATGTAGAGAACCGGAGATCCTTTATACTGGAAAAGAGGCCAGCAGCCGTGAGCTGACAACGCATCTGCATTTTGATTAGCAAACGAAGATAAATGTAGATGTCTATGGGCCACAGTAACCACTTAGCATCAGGTGGACTGTGTGCTCGCTTGTCACCCTTATCCTATAAAAAAATATTTATAAGGGTCGATCGGTAGGCAAAAACGTTGTTCCCATAAATCTATACAAATAAATAAAATTGAAGTATCTGTTTGTAATGTAAAAATAACAGCTTTTAACTAAATGTATGTGAAAGTATATACGGTACTTATAACAAAAACACAATAGTAAAATTTTTTGTCTGTCTGTCTGTTTGTTCGGGCTAATCTCCGAAACGGCTGGACCGTAGAAATTAAGGTTCTAAAAAAAAGAATAAGATAAAAAAATATTTTATTTGAATTTAAATTAAAAAAGATCTAAAATATTTTGATGGGACTTTTACTGGCAGATAGCTGATGTCATAAGGAGTAACTTAGGCTACTTTTATTTTCGAAAAATAATTAGGGTTAAGAATATTAAAACCCTAATATATACACGCGGGCGAAGGCGCGGGGAACAGCTAGTAAATTATTAAGAATAACTCAAAAACTATTGGACAGACCTTGATCAAATTTATATGCAACCACATGAGAAGCACCAGCTTTCAAATAAAAAAAATAATCATCGAAATCGGTTCACCCAGAAACACGTTATGAGGTAACACACATAAAAAAAATTAATTGAGTACAGTCTCCTTTTTGAAGTAGGTAGATAAGCCAGGGCCGGTCGCTAGTATAAAATAAAGCCTTTTCCATATATTGCCTCATTGTGGGATTGTTGCCCTTAATTGCTACGCTTACCACGCGGTCTGGCAACCACAGGTTTTTGGAAAGAATTTCCTTATCGCACGGTACGAATTTGGCGGAAGGGGGCTAAGCGAGAAAATGTGTAAGGGGAAAACACCGCCGACCATCCCGCGGTGTGAGTGCTCCATGCCGGATGTGCTGTTCTCACAGCGCTCGGTTCGCAGAGCACTCCTCTCCCTGGACATCCAGAAGTCGAGTGGGCCTGACGGAATGCCGCCAATTGTGCTGAGGCACCGGTCCTAACGCGTCTTTTCCGGTATTCCTACTACCTAGGCGTAGTCCCGAAATCATGGAAGACAGCTTTTGTCCACCCGATCCCTAAAAAATTCGACCGCTCAGACCCGTCCAATTACAGGCCTATCGCCATCACCTCCTTGTTCTCCAAAATAATGGAATCCATTATTAACTGCCAGCTCATACGGTACCTTGAGGATCACCAGCTGTACTACGGTTTTCGTCAGGGTCGATCAGCTGGTGATCTTCTGGTCTACCTGACGCATAGATGGGCGGAGGCAGTAGAGTCCAAGGGGGAGGCGTTGGCCGTTACTTTGGACATTGCGAAGGCCTTCGGTCGGGTTTGGCACAAAGCGCTTCTTTCGAAGCGCCCTTCCTATGGGCTTCCCAAGAAATTGTGCAATTGGATTACCGGCTTCCTTTCAGATCGGAGCATCAAGGTCGTTGTAGACGGTGCATGCTCCGACTACAAGCCTATTAACGCTGGTGTTCCACAAGGCTGAATGCTATCACCAACGCTGTTTCTTCTGCATATCAGTGATATGTTGCTAACTGGTAACATTTATTCCTATGCGGATGACAGCACTGGTGATGCTCTATACACCGGCCGTGTCAATATTTCTCGGGAAAACGTCGCCGAGTACCGGAACAAACTTGTGTCTGAAGTCGAGTCTTTGCTGAACAAAGTCACGGATTGGGGGCGACTAAATCTAGTCCAGTTTAATCCTCAGAAGACACAAGTTTGCGCGTTTACCGCTAAAAAGAACCCCTTTGTCGTATCTCCTCAGTTTCAAGGCACTCCCCTTCTTGCTTCAGTCAGTATAGGAATCCTCGGAGTCGACATATCGAGTGACGTGCAGTTTCGTGGTCACTTGGAAGAGAAGGCCAAATTGGCCTCCAAAAAGCTTGGCGTGCTCAGCAGAGCGGGACAGTATTTCATGCCGGCACACCGCCTGCAACTTTACAAGGCGCAGGTTCGGCCTCACATGGAATACTGTTCCCATCTCTGGGCCGGGGCTCCCCAGTGCCAGCTCCTTCCACTTAACCGCATCCAGCGCAGAGCGGCTCGAATCGTCGACGATGAGTCGAACGAATGAGTCCTTTCCGATTGGCTCGATTCATTGGCACTGCGAAGAGATGTTGCATCCCTTTGCATTTTCTTTCGCATCTACCACGGGGGTGCTCTGAGGAATTGTTCGGATTAATCCCAGCCGCCAAATTTCACGAACGCACATCACGGCAGAACTCCCGATACCATCTACCCATCTGGATGATTGGCGGTCCACCACTGTGCGATTTAGAAGATGTTTTCTTCCTCGCACGATTTCCTTGTTTAATCGATTACCATCAGCGATTTTTCCGGAACGATACGGGACCTTCAAGAAAAGAGCATACTCCTTTTTAAAAGGCCGGCAACGCATCTGCAATTCCCCTGACTCCCCTGGTGTTGCAGTTGTTCATGGGCGGCGGTAGTCATTTACCATCAGATGAGCCGCACGCTCGTTTGCCCCCTCTCCTATAAAAAAAATATTTTTTCGTCACGACACCCTTTCTACAGTGCGAGCGACATGGAACAATATCTGTCTCCCTCGCACTTTTTCTTATCTTGCCATGAAAGAAATATTATTATATTTTAAATGACGCTTCATTTTAATAGACGCTAGTAATTAATTTATTTGTATTTGTTAATCAATAATATAATACGTTTAAAGTTACAGACTATATACGTCCCACTGCTGGGCACCGGCCTCCTCTCATTTCTGAGAGTGTTTTAGGCCAAAGTCCGTCGCACTGCCCCAATGCGTGTTGGCGAACTTCAAATGTCTTCGAAGTACTTTTTATTTCTTATTTCTCAGACATGCAGGTTTTCTCACAATGTTTTCCTTCACCGCCGAGCACGTGGTAAATCAGCACTTAAACTTGCAATTAACAATTTCATCGGTGCCGGCGGGGATCGAACCCGGGTTGCTCGCGTACTGTGAAATTTACCGCGGGCGCTAACCATCTGAGCTACCACGGCTCTAATATAATACCTTTATCAATAATATAGTACGAAAGGAACTTCGTTCTAACCAAGTGTTCCACGACACCCACGCATGTTTTTTTTTGCATATACCTCTGAGTCCCTCTCTCACACTACTATTCCCTCTCTAACACATTACTATTATTAGTAGTAAGGAGGAATAAGCGATGCAACTTACCTTTGTACTCCATTCTTTTAATTTCACATATTTTCCATGAAACTTCATATGACTGTTAGAATAAACTTCATTGACATGTAATACATTTTTGCTACATTTACGACACCAGTGTAAAAGCATATAATTCTTCGAGTGATGCAGCATATGCTCCAAAAGCATACATTCACGCATAACCTCGCCACAAACTTTACAGTTTGTGTCCGTCGTCAATTTCATATGCATTAACTGGGTGGACCTTGTTGTGAATTTTCTAAAACAGAATTCACACTTTGTGTTTTTGTATCTTGCTGGGCAGCCGTGGTATTTATAAATAATATACTTTATTTTGCAACGGGTGCATATCTTTGTTTCATTTGAAATCGGATCATCTGAACGAACTGAATGCCGTTCAATCATATGAACATCAAACTGTTTTTGAGTTAGACAGCAACGGAAACACACAGGACATATTTTGAATTCACTCATCTCAATTCCTAATTTTTTACATTTCATTTCCAGATATTGTTTGCATACACTCTCATGCTGTGACAATTTGGTGCACGATACGAGTTCGCTGTCGCAACCCTCACATTTATATGTTGTATTTTGACTTTTGAAATTATGAAACGTGGCCGGCTTGCCACATTTCCAGCAGTCAGAACAAATTTTTAGGTTCTGAGTTAATTTGGGTTTTTTATGTTCTATCTGGTTAGTACATGCTATCATGCAAAACTCATTATCTATCAGTTCCGGTTTGATATCAAGTGATTCAACGTCATGTTCCTGAATATGTTCTCGAAATGGGTGCAGTCTCCACCAGCCCATATCGCAAATATAACACAGGTACAACAAAGGTGAATCTCTGAAATTCGGACATTTATCATACCAATCTTTCCATCCTTCAAGCACAGCGTTGATAAGTTTTTCATGATATGATATTGGAACTTCATAGTCATATTCACCAAGAAAATTCCGAATAACTACATCTAAGTATTTGTCTGCCAGGCTCGTGTTCCGTTTGGCTTGATCCTCGATAGCTTTTAGTATAGAACTTCTTGTTAAAGTGAACTGTTGTACGGGTACAACTCCATTACTGACGTCCCGTGGACTTGGTCGTAAGATATTCCTTATGAAATATTGTTTATCTTCTGCAAAAGTAACAGTTCAAAATTATTTAATATTTGACAACAATACTAGGATATTGGATAAAACTGCTTTTACGGATTTATGGCTAATTTTATATTTTAACCTGGGTGTATGACACCACGGTTGGACTGATGTGTTTGAAACACTGATGTCATTGTCGACTAGGAATGTCATCAGCTGTTAATTATTAATTTTAGTTTAATTTTTTTTGCAGCAATTGCAGTGGTATGCTTAGGTTTGGACATTGATCTACTACTAAACGGACGGCAGGTCTAAAACAAAATTCACGAAAAATGTGTCCATAGTCAACCTGTATATTCATAGGTATACATGTACAGAAATATAAAAAAGGACTATAACATCCTAATTGAAACCATAGACGAGGGCTGCACTAAAAGTATCGGGAATGGAATATTTCCACTGTTCCTGTCATATTAAATTTTTTTTAATTGAAAAGTCCTTGGTTTTAAAAATCGAATACCATTTATTTATTTAAAAGAAGATTCTCGGTCTTGTCACAAGGTTTTGTCAAACTTGTTTAGTCGTTGAAAAAATGCAATTGACGCGAGAAAATTCAAGAGCGTTGATTTATTATGAGTTTCGAAGTGGTTTAACACGAAAACAGTGTGTTGACCGGATGATTTCTGCATTTGGTGATGAAGCCCCATCCAAAACCACAATTTATCGCTGGTTTGCTGAATTTCAACGTGGACGTGTCAAGGTCAGTGATGATCCCCGTCAAGGTCGTCCAAAAACTACAGTCACCCAAGAAAACGTTGATGCTGTGCGTAAGCTGATTGAGGAAGATCGACATGTGACATACCGCGAAATTCAGGCAACTTTAGACATTGACATGAGTCAAATACAAATAATCTTGCATGAACAATTAGGTGTAAAAAAGTTGTTTTCCCGATGGATACCGCATTCGCTCTGTGAAGAGCAAAAAAGCGGCTCGCGTTACTTGGTGCGTCAGAACTCTCGAAAGATTCCACGCAGGATCCTCAAATGCTGTATACAACATCGTATCAGGTGACGAATCCTGGATATACGCGTACGAACCCGAAACAAAAAACCAGTCACGAGTTTGGGTGTTCGAAAATGAGTTAAAGCCAACAAAAATTGTTCGTTCACGGAGTGTTGCAAAAAAAAATGGTGGCCACGTTTGTCTCAAAAACCGGCCATGTTACAACTATTCCTCTTGAGGGACAAAGAATGGTTAATGCAGAATGGTATGCTAGCATTTGTTTGCCACAGGTCGTTTCTGAACTCCGTAAAGAGAACTGCAACTGCTGCATCATCCTCCATCACGACAATGCGAGTTCTCACACCGCACATAGAACAAAAGTTTTTAGAGCAAGAAAACATAGAACTATTAGACCATCCGCCGTACAGCCCCGACCTAAGCCCTAATGATTTCTATACTTTCCCAAAAATAAAGAATAAATTGCGTGGACAGAGATTTTCATCACCTGAAGAAGCTGTGGACGCCTATAAAACGGCCATTTTGGAGACCCCAACTTCCGAATGGAATGGTTGCGTTTTCGCGGAGAATACTTCGAAAAGCAATAAATACATTTTTAAATAGTAATGTTGTGTCACTTCCTTGATTCCCGAAATTTTCAGTGCCGCCCTCGTAGTCATTATAAAACTGCTCAATTTTACTTGCGACAATTTATCAGCCTATTAATTTAGACTAAAGGCCACAATATTTTCACCTTTTGAAGATTTTAGCGAAAATTATCGGTATGGTTATTTGTTTTTGCAATTAAATTAAATACAATAAAATTTATGAATTTAAACTAAAAACAAAATATTACTTTTAAAAGATTAAATATTAATAGTCTTAACCGTAAATATATATAAATACAAATAGTTTTTGCTCGTTTTCACAATACAGCATCATACATGGTAGAGCCATGCTGAAGCTATATGAATAGCATTGTTGTAGCACGAATGGGTCGGCTTGACCGGGAAAGGACCACACTCTCACAGAATACCAGCGTAAAATAGCAGCTAATGCTGCCGTGTTTCGTATGGTGAGTGTAGAGAACCGGAGACCCATTTTACTGGAAAAGAGGCATTCCATCTTAGTCCTCACGGCTGACAACGCAACTGCATTTTAATTCGCGACGAAGATAGATGCAGATGTCTATGGGCCACAGCAACCACTAACCATCAGGTGGAAAAAAAATACAGTACGACATACTGAATGTTGTATTAAGTCGGTCGGAAAAACTAAGACTGGCGCGCGATTGGAGCTCTTTTTGCATTTTGGAACTCCTTTGGCTCGGACACTTTTAAGCGCGGACACGAAATGAATTTAGTAGTAGGTCAATAGGATAGCGTTTGGATTTAATTTTATTAATGACAGAGTCTCCAAGCAGGCGGCCGTACCCAGCCTATTAAAATGAGGATGATTTTTTTATATCAAAATCCTCACGAATTAACCTTGGTAGGAATTATATATGTGGTAGAGCCACATTAGAGCTGTGTTGTGGTTGCAGCACGAATTGATCGGCACGACGGTAAGGACCACGCTCTCACAGAACACAGGCGTAGAATAGCTGCATAATGCTGCTGTGTTACATATAGGAAGTGTAGAGAACCGGAGATCCTTCACTGATATGGCATTCCATCTTAGTCCTTAGGGGTTGTAACGCATTTACATTTTGATTCTCAATCGAGGATAGCTGTAGATGCATCAACTTACCATCATGTGGACTGCGTGCTTGTTAGTCACACTTATTCTATATTAAAACCCATGTTTATTCGTGAGGAATTCTGCTCTATCAAATCTGATGTAATGGTGATGATGCAAGGGCCGTTCTAGAATATGATAACAACCTGCAGGCTTTAAGGAGCATAAATGTTATGTATTGTTCTTTTACGCATGTTTGTTATTGACGGGTAATATACAGGGTTATTTAGCAATAACCGCCCAAATTTGCAGAGAAGGTTCAGAATAAGTAATATGGGCAAATGGTGAAGGAAAATTTATTAAAAAAAATTCAAATATTCTATACTTTATATCTTTTAAATTCAAAATGCGTGATAATACGTTATTTTAACTGATTTTACTGCGCTCGCACACATTCGTATGGGTCGATCGGTAGGCAAAAACGTTGTTGCCCATAAATCACATTGAATTTGGGATAATTTCAAATAAAAGTAGAAGCCTGATTTACTCATATTTTCAAAAACTGCAATAACGGTATATTATTAATGAATACCTTTGAACTTATGTTTCAAATTTGGCTACTCTTTGAAAAATACCCATCTATTTCGATTTTTTTCCTTTACTTGTGGTGCTGACCTGAACATATAAATGAAATAAAGATACCTGTGTCAATATCCCCGGGTATAAACAAACCATAATTTTTTCTTGTCTTACTAAATATGCTAGCATTTTTTCGTTTTCGAATTTCAAAATCACCCTGAAATTCTTCTTCCTCCATAATATCGAAAATGTTGGGGTGGGATGAGGTGCCGGGGCAAAATAGTAATTTCTTGTTCCTTGGTCTGAAATAAAATAGAATAACATCAGTCAGGCTACTGTTAACTGAACATCAAGCAGTGACGTGCCCAGGACCTTGACTCAGGGCAAGCCCAACTTTTTATGTATTTACCACGTATTTTATACAGAATTCATAATGAAGTCACTGGCATTTTGACACTGACAAACGTACACACAGTCCACCTCATGGTAAGTGGTTGCTGTGGCCCATAGACATCTACATCTATCCTCGTTTGCGAATCGAAATTCAGATGCGTTGTCACCTGTGAGGACTAAGATTGAATGCCTCTTTTCCAGTAAAATGGGCCGCTCGTTCTCTACACTGACCATACGAAACACAGCAGTATTAAACTGCTATTTTACGCTGGTATTCTGTGAGTGTGGTCCTTCCCCGGTCGAGCCGACCCATTTGGGCTGCAACTACACAATTAATATAGCTGCAGCATGGCTCTACCACCTTTGTTTAACTGACACGAAAATAAACGACGATGATACAAATACCGCCATCTACTGGAAGCCATAAGAACTATCTAGAGTTTCCTATTTTCGTTTCCTATTCTTGATACCATGGTATGACATAAATTACATACGAATTGCACATATATTATATCGTGGTATGACGAAAATTACATATGAAACGAATATCTGAAGTTATGCCCAGTTGAATTATTCAGCAGCACAAAAAGAAATATAACTAATTATTATTATATATTAATAGTTAATAATTATATCTAATATATAAAAATATAATTAATCCCAGCCGCCTAATTTCACGAACGCACATCGCGGCAGAACTCCCGATACCATCTACCTATCTGGATGATTGGCGGTCCACCACTGTACGATTTAGAAGATGTTTTCTTCCTCGCACGACTTCCTTGTGGAATCGATTACCATCAGCGATTTTTCCGGACCGATACGACTTAGGGACCTTCAAGAAAAGAGCGTACTCCTTTTTAAAAGGCCGGCAACGCATCTGCAATTCCCTCCCTGGTGTTGCAGTTGTTCATGGGCGGCGGTAATCACTTACCATCAGGTGAGCCGCATGCTCGTTTGCCCCCTCTCCTATAAAAAAAATAACGAAATTACATTTCGTTTAAGATCTTGTTGCGCTAATTCGTACACATTATTAATAAATAATAATTTAAAAAATCAATGATATTATCTTAAGGAAAAAAAAACACAGTTGTTATCAATACTGGAATTATGTTTTGAAATTTCTATCGATAGACCAATGGACGATATCAATATTTTTCTTTGCCGCCAAATTAAATTACAAAAATATAAGGTACCTAATAGGCTATTTGACAATTGAAAATACACTACAAATTGTGGTCATCCTATCTGATAATAGCGTAAAAAATATATTTCAATTTATTTTAAACCGGTTAATTGTGCATATTAATATATATACAATATTACAAACTATAATAATAATAATAAAAAAAACTAAAACTAGAAACTTATATTATTAACTTATATTATTTTAAACTAAAGTATGTATACTTTATGCAAAATAAACGAAAATAATACATAATAATTTTTGAAAATTTATCTGTGACGGGAACGCCCTGTGATTGGTTGCAACTCTGGTGACGTCACACACAAGTAAACATAGCTGCCTTCGTCATCTCATTACAGCCACGTACACAAGTCCACTGCTGTACATAGGCCTCCCCCAAGGAATGCCTCAAAGCACAGTCCTGAGCCACCTGCATCCATCGACTTCCTGCATGTCTTACCAGATCGTCACTCCATCTAGTGGGGGGTTTTTCCGCATCGGTTGTCGGTTCTGCAAGTTATATGGCCGGCCCATTGCCACTTCAGCTTACTAATCCGTTGGGCTATGTCGTTTACTATGGTGCTACTGCGGATATCCTCATTTCTAACTTTATCGCGCTGAGAAACTCCGAGCATAGCCCTCTCCATAGCTCGCTGAGCGACCTTGAGCTTCCTAATCCGGCCAGCAGTGAAGGACCACGTCTCAGATCCATAAGTTATCACTGACAACACGCACTGGTTGTACAATCTCTTTTTCAGGTTTTGAGATATACCTGACGAGAATATGTGTGGTAATCTCCCGAACGCTGCCCAGCCGAGTTGAATCCGTCGATTGACTTCGGTCGAAGTTGGACTTACCTAGTCGGACTATTTGTCTCAGGTAAACATATTCGTCAACAACTTCGAGCTTAGTGCTCCCAACAACTACCGGCATAGGTGATATGGACATTAAACATGATCTTTGTTTTGTCCATGTTCATCTTAAGACCTATCCGTTGGGAGACACTATTGAGGTCATGAGCATAGTGCTTAGGTCCTCCAGCGATTCTGCCATAAGGACTATATTGTCGGCAAATCGAAGATAAGTGATGTACTCGCCATTGATGTTAATACCGTATCCTTTTAGTGAAGAGTTTCGGGGATATAACGTCACCCTGTCTTACACCTCTCTGCAGTTGGATAGGTTTCGTACTTTTGTTCTGTACTCGGATAGCCATCGTAGCCCTACTGTACAAATATTTCAGCACTTCCATAATACAGTCAACTTGGCACCGCTGAAGGGACTGTAGCACCGCCCAAATTTCGACGGAATCAAAGGATTTCTCATAGTCCACATACGCAAGGCAAAGTGGCAAATTGTACTCTTCGAAGGGTATGTATGTGGTCTATGGTACTAAAGTTTACAACATTATATATATATATATATATATATATATATATATATATATATGTTATTACTGGCCCATTCACATCTACATCTATCTTTGATATTATATATATATACAAATATCAAAGATAGATGTAGATGGGAATGGGCCACAGATTCCTCTTACAATCAGGCAGACTGGAATCATTTTTTCACCTTTATTTTACAGAAAAAGTAAGTAAGCTTGTTTTAACCAACTTTATTTAATTATTATTATTATCCATCACTTACGTCTATTTGCATAATGTCTTTAAATAAAAAATTATGTACCTGTAAGAATAATGTGATGCACAGCTCCCAAACGCAGCAACTTTCTCCTTTATTTATATAAAAACACTTATGTTCAGTGTTTCCTGCATATGGATGAAATCTGTAAATTTAGATAGTTTAAATATTAAAATACATGACAACTTATAGCTTTTGATACATTTGAGGACAAAAGGAACAGCATGTTGCACAACATGTCGCTCAACAACTATATGGAATGTCCTGAGACATATGTCGCAGTACATTTTGCAGGTCACACTAATCAGTGCTTATGGAAATGTCGCGCGAGGAGGTTGTGGCGATTAGTGCTGCGTACATAGTACTTATTAAGTAAGCGACAGAGGAGAGGCGATGGATGCGGAATTTCTTACTACAATGAGAAAAAAGAATAATTAATATTTCAAATGATCTCCGAATGTCTGATGGATCTTTTGTGAATTTTACTCAAATGTCAAGATCTGATTTAGAAACTTTATTACAAATGATCGGACCTACCATAGCCGAACATGATAGAAAGTATTGTATCATGTTTGACTACGGAATGCTGTTGGCCTCATATCAGACTTGCCATTGTATTAAGATACTTGTCGACTGGAGATTCTTATGCTTCCTTGTCATACACTTTTCGAGAGTGGAAACACCTGATCGGTATAATGGGGATATGCACTTTGGTTTCAATTTTTTTCTCGGTAACTGCATTGGCAATATCCTCTCATGCATGTAATTTTTATTTATTTTATTTCGATAATCACAGTTTGAAGTATCCCACAGTAACAAATGACTGGTAAAGCTCAAGAAGTAAATGCATGGTTTTGTTTCCCCAAACTATTGACATGTTGCAAGGCATGTTGAGCCGGGTATGGCCGTGTATACCCGGTAACAAATAGGCGCAAGCAACACTGACGCGGGACACATGCGCCTGCTCTCGAAGCGGGAGCAAACAACATGTCCCACGTCACATAAAATGCAGGACACTGTACAACGTTGCATCGTCACGTAGATTGAGTGATCTGCATCCTGTTGTAGGACAAAACATCTCCTAGTGTATCCGGGGCCTATATTTACGACAATATGACCTATGGATCTGAGACGTGGTCCTTCACTGCTGGCCGTATGAGGAAGCTCAAGGTCGCTCAGCGAGCTATGGAGAGGACTATGCTTGGGGTTTCTCTGCGTGATAAACTTAGAAATGAGGATATCCACAGTAGAACCAGAGTAACCGACACAGCCCAACAGATTAGTAAGCTGAAGTGGCAGTGGGCCGGCCATATACCTTGAAGAACTGACAACCAATGGGGAAGAAATATTCTTGAGTGGCAGCCTCGTATCTTTAGGCGAAGTGTAGGGCGACCCTCCACTAGATGGAGTGACGACCTGGTAAGACATGCAGGAAGTCGATGGATGCAGGTGGCTCAGGTCAGTGCTTTGTGGCATTCCTTGGGTGAGGCCTATGTCAGCAGTGGACTTATGAAAGGCTGTAAAGATGATGATGATACTAAAAGTAATTTATATTTCCTGTAAGTTTAGATTAAAATCTGTTTTACAAAGAATATGCACACTACAATGTAATGTTTGGGATTTTATGTTTATTATTATTATTTAGCAGGCCTTCAGTTGAAACCTGTATACAGGTATCAAATCTGTAATTGTTCTATTTAAGTTGTTTATCCAATTTGTTTTTAAATTGGTTAATGGTTTGTGGTGATATCTCTTCTATTAGCAGCTTGTTCCATGCTCCAGCTACTTTGGCTAAAATAATTAAAAATTAAAAATTTTGTACAGCAGACTTCAATAATTAAAAGACAGTTAATAATTAAATTAAAATAGTTGTAACAATAAATAAACTATATTGATGTATTCATTTATAACTTAATAAAGTATCCATGTATTCTTGAGATTTTGTTACTTATAGTTTAAAAATTAAAATTTTGTACAGCCGACTTCAATATAAGTTATTAAGAATAACTAAAAACTATTGGTCTGACATTGATCAAATACATATGGGACCACACAAGGAGTACCAGCTTTCAAATAAAAAAGAATCATCAAAATCGGTTCACCCAGTAAAAAGTTATGAGGTATCACACAAAAAAATACATACAGTCGAATTGAGTACCGGCTACTTGGAAGTCGGCAGAAAAGTGCTTTTGTGGGTTATTAATGTGACAACTCTTTAGTCGATTTGAGGACTTGAGGAGACGGCCCCTAAGATGTGTGTTGTTTCAGTACTGGAATAGTAGTATATTATAATTTTCTAGATCATATTGTCCATGTATTATTTAAAATGTTTCGATCAAGTCTCCTCATTCTGTGCAATCTTTCAGAATTATAAGATTAAAAGTGTCTTCAGCCTTTCGTACGATATTTAATGTTCTTGTTTGAAAATCTACGTTAACCTTCTCCAGTAAGTCAAAATCTGTTTATTAATAAATTTGACAAAAAATAAATGAAATATGGAAAATGCTCTGGCCGCTAAGTGCCTTCTTTAGTTAGAAGGACTCTTCTTAAACCATAGTTTAAGCACAATGCTATTAAAACACATGTTATTTTCTAAAACCTATAATGTGAAACAACACTGTGTGTTTGGTACAGACAAAACCAAACCAAAAATATTATATTGTGGAATAACATGGTCTTAAAGGTATGATTTTGAAATAACTATAAGTAATTGTGATGTTTGACAAATACGGATATACTATAAATAACACCAGCAGGGCTATTCACAATCGTCTCGGAAAGCGAATTCGACTCGGATTCGATTCGGAAACCAATAAACGCTATTCACATTTAACGTTCGGATAAAGGTCACTTAGATACATCCTATAACTATTGTATCGTCATTTAGTTCCATGCATTTACGAATTTTGTAGATAAATAGGCTTTTGTATTTTTTTAGAGTAACGCCTAAACAAAAACATAATGCAATATTATGGTGTTAGCCATTGATATCGAATATAAAAAATATATAATTTAACTATATAATAAATAACAAAAAAACTGAGATATGTCTCGTTTCTGTCGGGTCTGGGTTTTTTTCTATGGGGCGTGACCGTACTTCTTTGACATTTGTTTTCGATAATTGTGACAGTTTGCATCGGAAACTTTACGAGAGCTCTGAGGCTGGCGAAAACTTTTCGAATATTGATGATTAGAAGAGATAAATAAACCCTTTTAATTATAAGGTAGGTAACAAAAATTAATTACAATTATCTATAAGACGTATTTTCATATAATTACTTCAATATTTGCACTTAATCGTAAAGCTGAATTTTTGTGAAAGGTGTGTTTTTATAAGTTTTCTATCACAAATATATATATATATATATATATATATATATATATATATATATATATGCTGCTTTGTGAAACGAGACATATCTCAGTTTTTTTGTTATTTATTATTTATTATATAGATATTAATGGCTAACACCAAAATATTGCATTATGTTTTTGTTTAGGCGTTACTCTAAAAAAATACAAAAGCCTATTTATATACAAAATTCGTAAATGCATGTAACTAAATGACGATACAATAGTTATAGGATGTATCTAAGTGACCTTTATCCGAACGTTAAATGTGAATAGCGTTTATTGGTTTCGGTGCGAGAAGTTATCGAATCCGAGTCGAATTCGCTTTCCGAGACGATTGTGAATAGCCCGGCAGCAGTGACAAGGCGAGAATAGTTTCGAAACTTCTCCATGGTCCCTACAGGCCGGTCTCTATAGCAAATGGCACAAAGCACAGCTTGCTACAGATTCATTTATCTGTGAAATGGAACAATTATTTAGTCATCTCTTTCATATCACATACCTGGGAAAAGAAACATTCTGGATGTTTTATCTCTTCCTTGCCTTAACCGTGAATAATAACCGAGTACTACACAAGCAGCACAAGTGATCATGATAAATCACACAAAACGAAAAACTCACATACTACTATATTCTTTTGTAAACTCAAAAGTAATTCTTTGATAAAATCTTAGATCTTAGTTTAAATATGCAAGCTATAAAACGCACGCAAAGAAAACTTATACTCCTCATCTATTCACTCATCCTCAGTCCTCATTGAAATATATATTATAGGTATATCATATTCATAGATCAATAAATTATAACTATGTAGCAAGCAAGCCATAACTTTGTATTGGAAATATACAATCATATACAATACAATGACTTCCTGTTTATGACAGTTAGATCATTATCTATGGGTTTTTTTTAACTGGCTTTACGGCTTTGGGTTCTAGCCCTTCTGAGTTATCTATGGGTTAGAGTTAGACACAAAGAGTATAGTACACGGGTACACGGCAGGTAATCTTCATATAAGTTATTAGAACCTCTAGTCTATGGTTCATATATCGTAAGTGACAGCTTCTTTCACCCCCCTTCCCCTCCTTCACCTCTCAGAAGAATTTCTGTCACTGTCACAGTGTCGTTATTTTTTAACAGTTTCAAAGTTGATCAAGTTTAGTTTTGCCTTGATTTATTTCCGTAATTAATCCTCTCAATTCCTGAAGCTGTAAGTCTTGCAACATGTATAACAAGTTTTGTGTTCCAATGTGTGCTAGTAGACGAAAGGACGTCAGTTTTCATATGTTGCCAAAAAGTGAGATAGGACTCAAAAAATGGTTACAGTGTATTAACTGTGAAAGACTGCGATGCTTGAGTTTCCAGAAACTTCGTAAACATTTTGTTTGTCGAAAACGATTTGAGAAGAGGTTTCTCGTAATCACGCACGAAAGAGTTCGTCTTTGCCCCAACACCTATCCACGTTGTTTACTGTTAGCGAGATGTCCAGTGGTATTCCGCAAATGATTGCAAGAATCGCCGTTGAAACTGGTAAGTACAATGATATTGTGATCAATTGCTACATTATAGTGATGTTGCATCACCAATATAGTAACACTAGCTGTTCCCCGCGGCTTCGCCCGCATGGAATTAATTTGCGCGGAACCCTAAAATAAAAGTAGCCTAGGTTACTCCTTATAACATCAACTATCTGTCAGTGAATTCCAATCCAAATCGGTTCACAGATTTTTGCGTGATGCATATTTAGACAAACATGTTTTCTTCCGACTTACTTAATAATTATTATTATATTTTAGCCAATTTACACAATATCTTTATTAATTATGACTTATGTGTTATTCTAATATATGAGCCATATAATTGCAAAGTTTAATTAGAATCCATTTAGTACTTTTTGCATGAAAGAGTAACAAACATGCATACATCCTCACAAACTTTCAGATGGAAAGCAAGTAAGCTAGACTTTGAAAAATACAGCCGAAATTATATCATTCTTCGACAACCTCTTTGACTCAGTTAATGGAACTTCATACAATAAAACATCCAAAGGAAAAGCTTTAAGACAGGCAGTAACGGAAAAATCCTCACATCACAAAGAGCAATGGCAGAAAAATAGTTGACAAAAATTATAGCGTCTAGAAATAAGTTATATATAAAATGAGTTTTATTATTTTTCTATGATTTTTCAAATAAAAATGTATTTTAATTAAAGCCACAGAAAAAAACAAACATTTCTGGGAATATCAAATGACTGAAATCATTTTACTCTATTCAAATGTTGCCATTTAGTATATTCCTACTATTTTCGTATACACTTTGTAACACTACCAATACAACACACAAAATATTTTTATATTAATTTATTATTAGTAATAACTGTACTATCAGTAATAACAAAAATAAAAGTAATATGGCTGAGAATAAGTCTCTTACAACGAATTTCCTACAATAATACATTATCGCAGTCATAGTACTATGTAACAATTCCATTTAATGTTATGTCAACACTAGCTAAAATAAAATGTCACTGTTTTTTTTTACTGGCTTTACGGCTCTGGGTTCTAGCCCTTCTGAGAATGTCACTATGGTACAAAAGCCCTGGAGCCATGCCAGAAATATTACATTTATAGTATGCAAATATATAATAGAGATACAATCATCTAAAAACTCTCAATTATGTATTATGTATTAAGCTAACATCAAACAACCACAGGAAGCATGACTTTTTCCAAGTGACATAGGACATAACCTAAAAAAGTTCAAATGTAAATATCTTTTTTTTGACGCCTTCTCAGTACAAAATTCTTTGACAGAGTTATTAAGGGACTGACGCTTAACATTTTAAGATATTTTTGGTATATAGACGCTACCATTTCTTCTCAACTAATTTTATGTATGAAAGTCTGCCATTGCTCTTTTGGAGGGAAGCAATCCTAAAACTGAAAAGCATAAAATTTATATATAATCAAGGTAAAGAAACATCTGTGCCTTCATTAAAAAACTGGATAACAACTCTCAAAAGTTACCAGAGATTATGGATATCTAAGTGCAAAAAATATTAAAATTTTGCACCTGAGGTATTTAAATTCTGATCCTATTGAAAACTTTTTTGGACAAACGCGTGCATAAAATTTTAGATATACGAATCCAAATTGCCAAACATTCTAAAGTACTTTTAGATTACTGTTAATTACAAGGTTTATAAAGTTCCACTCAGATAGTTATAATTGTGAAGAGAATTCTGCTGAACAATTATTAAAATTAAAATCATTATTTTGTACAAAAGAAAAATGTGATAATACTAAGCAAATCCATTCATTTGAGTCCTCTGAGCTATCCCATTGGGTAGAAAGTGAAGGTTCAGCAAAGCAGGAAAAAATTAATGTTCACTCACGTGCATATACCGCTGGGTGGGTCATAAGAAATATTGGGTGTTGACCAAAATTTGGCGCTTAGACTTATTACTTTATATTTAAGTAACAGAACTCAAAAGGTCATGATCAATGGTAAAAGTTCCTCCGGATCGGTAGTATCAATGGGTGGGGCCCTCAAATATCTAAATTAGCAAACAGACTTAGTTCTGCAGCATATGCTGTAAGAAAGATTACAAGTCTCACAGATGTTGAGACAGCTAGATTAATGTATTTTAGTTACTTTCATAGCATATTGTCTTATGGAATTTTGCTATAGGGTAATGCAACTGATATTGAAGCTATATTTGTTTTGCAAAAGAGAGCCGTACGGGCTATTTATAACCTAAATTATAAAGAGTCCCTCAGAGAAAAATTTAAAGAAATAAACATATTAACTTTGACATTGCAATATATTTATGAAAATGTAATGTATGTACATAAAAACATAAATAGCTTTAATAAGAATAAGGATGTGCATACTTTAAACACTAGGAACAAACATAAGTGTTCGCGCAAAACTCTGTTGTCGGAATCGACATCAGATGTCACTCGGCTCGGCGCGATTCCGGTCTGAAGTTCTTCCGAGCGTGGCAGTGGCGCGCGGGTCGCAAGCGAGTCAGTCATCGGCCAGATGCGCTAATGTTTGCACGCTGTTAATTTTGTGCGGGAACCGCGGAATAGTTAGGGCGTCTAGTAAATATCCTGTCTAGGAATTATAACGCGCATTCCCTGTTTGGATAGCCTTTCCCGGGACTTATTGGGTCCGACTCAGAATCTGTATAAGTGCATTCGACAATATAAGCTAGTGCGGCCTCCGTATTTAGAACTATCTGTTGCCACGCGAACCGGTAGTGACCTTTGACCCAGAAACTCCGGGCGAGTTTTGTGCGGTAACCTTATACCCCGCGATAGTTAGTGGCTTCGGTAAGCTAGTTAATAGTACGATAGAGTTAAGTGACTGTCATCGTGGTGAACCAAGAAAGTGACTGTGGATAACCTCGAAAGGCCCCCTCAAGTTGGAGCGGTGTCGACGCTCGGGCTGCTGCCGACGGCTAAGGTCTAGGTTCAATCACCATCAGTCACACCCAGATACACACCACATCACCATTCTTTCCCTTGCACTACACAACCACATGCGACCTGACCGACTCCGGAGGGACCAGTCGCCTTGGATAGAGGTAAGTGAACTCCGCCAAATTCCTTCCGGTCGACTGGCCGTAGTATAACGCTCCCCCATATATTTTAGTGTAATTAGAGAGATTCCACGTGGCCTTAGGAGGCCCGACCTACGTTTGCTCGGGAAGTCTTCTGCTGATGGGCCCCAGGGGATTGGACCCTTTAAGGGAGCAACCGTAGACCGTAACAATAAGCTTGGCAGTTACTAGATTCCACAGAATCAGTAATTCATTTATGGGGCAATGTATACGCTTTTACATAAAATCCTAGAACATATTCAAAGTTCTTCAATAAACAAGTTTTAAAGTTTGTATACTGTACAAATAGGGTTATTATAATATCAAGGAATACATGAATGAAAATAAGCCCTGGGAATAAGGTGATCGCCACCATGAATCTATTGAATTCTATGAAAAAATATTAAAAAAATGTATAAATGAAACTATTGTTAGGTGAAATATTTTTGAAAAAAAAGTCCCGCTGGGTTTCTTGCTGGTTCTTCCCAGGACAGAGGTATTTTCCGAACCAGTGGTAAATAAAAATGACTTTCAATAAGTATTATGTAATAATCAATATTGTATAAAAAATTATCCTATTCTATTCTATACTAAAAAAAATAATTGTCGGCAATATGAAGCTGATTTAACAAATAGGGAATCCAATTATGATAAAAATTCTATCAATAATTGGATTTACCTTAAATAATTTAAAAGTATAAAATAAAAGAAATAGATCTACCCTTCGGAACATGCCGTGAGATTTTTTGGGATTATAACACAAGAAGCAAACAAATACTTAGAAACCAAACCTCAACAGAGTTGTATTATAAAAATATAAAAACTCTCATCAAATCTAAGTATTTGTTTGACTTTATAAACTGCGAACTGCGTAAGGATGCTGTTTCTGAACACTTTTTAACATTAACTTTAAGATTGACAGTGTTTAATTGGTGCAATGTCATAAATAAAATACTGAAAGGTATAGATGTCCTAAGATTAGAAAATAAAGCCTCAAACGAAATTAAAAGCTTTTAATAAATTTAAAACAAAAGTAAGAAATAAAAAAATGTTTAAGTAACACAGTGTTCTTTTCTTATACATTCCCCTCCTAACAAACTCGAATTAAATAACACGAATTTATTATTTATGAATTCGTATTATTTCATTAGAATAATACATAGAAAAGAGTACTTTTAGGTCCTATAAAAATAGGCTGTATCGTATCACGCTT